CCTGGGTTCAGGCAATTCTCCTGCCTCAGCCTCCTGAGTAGCTGGGATTACAGGCACACGCCTTCCATGCCCAGCTAATTTTTTGTAGTTTTAGTAGAGACGGGGTTTCACTGTGTTGACCAGGATGGTCTCGATCTCTTGACCTCGTGATCCACCCCCCTCGGCCTCCCAAAGTGCTGGGATTACAGGCTTGAGCCACCGCTCCCGGCCCGCTTCTCAACTCCTTTATGACTATTGTGATTATTTTAAATCAGTAAAATTTCTCCCTGATGCTTTGTCTGGGAGACTGGTCAAAGTAGTTTCTAGGTTTCACATATCGCATGGGGCTCGCCTGATGCCACAACCCACATGACCTACATTGTAGCCAGAGTTCTAAAAAATAATAATCTGAGATTTTTGTAATATCTCTAAATTTTAACACTTGGGGACATACATGTGGTTTTGCTTATTAATTATAGGTCATATCTAACACAGTGAAGTCTTTACAAGCATAATCTACAGCTCATAAAACATCCAAATATCGATTACTTTTGGTATCTAAGTAAATATAAAGGAATAGAAAGATTTTCTTCATTCATTCTAAGACGTCATTCCTTAACTTAGATATGTGCCAGATTTTTTAAAGACACAAAAAGTCACATTCATAGAATAAACATGGTTGTAAACATAGACTATTTACTCTAAGACCTAAGCTAGTGTGACTGCCTCAGTGATGTGTACTGAAGACCCAAATTAGCAGACCTTCTGTAAGTCCACACTTACAGAACAGGTGGGGCTAAATTGAAGAGTAAATTATAACAGGGTCCCTATATTCTAACACCTGAAATTTTAAAATATAGGAAAAAAGGTTAGAAGCCACATACAGCTCAAGATAGGCCTGCACCACACAGTTCAAAACGGGTCTATGTTATACTGACTGAGTACTCTAAATGAGGTTGTGGTAGGATTCCATTTATTTTTTTCTAAGCTATTTGAAAAGAACGTTAATCAGTTGTCTGAACCATGGCCAATTTTGAGCTCTGCTCTAGAATCTGAACTGAAACTCTCAATCAACACATCCTTGACTATTATATAATGAATGTAAAGATTCAGATAATTTTTAAAAAATACTGTTATATTTAGTCTAATAAAATTGAAACTGTTTAGATTTGTTTTTCTAAAGCGATTTAATCTGGGATTCTTTAAACGAAAAACTCTGAGCTTTGCCTTATGTTTATGATTCGAGTCTTCCAAATCAAAGCTCTGGGGAAAATATCATTTCAGTATTAGAAGGACTATCTTGTGCAATAATAAAGATTGGAAGTCTCTTCAGTCTTTGAAATCTCCTTTGGTCTTTTCAGAGAGCCACATCAAGCTGATGCAACAATGATTAACTCAGATTGCAAGGCTGGGGAAATAGCACACACACCCCTTACTGCTGACCTGGAGACCCACACCATGGGTGGGCCAAGATACAATGCACACCCTGCACACCCTGCTGCAACTCCAGTTTTGCGACATCAGTATCACACTCACACACAGCACGTGCCAGGCGTTACCTTTGTTAAATTGCTTAGCGCTAGATACTGAGAAGATAGCTGTGACACTCTGTGCCTAAAGCTCTTGCTGGCAGCTTGTCCTTCCCACAGCTGCTGAGCTTTCTCTTTCAGCCTGTTGAGCTGAGGCTCGTAGCAGTGTATTTCCTCAAGGACAGACTGAAAAGCACAAGCAAGTTACTATTCAGAGGCTGGGGAAAAGCACATCGCGGACGAAGCTTGGGCCCAGAGAACATGGAAATCAACACTGGCAGGCAATCCGTGTACCCTGGAGGCTTTATTATCTCCAATCTACACACAGTGGAGCACAAATCATGGAAGGAAACAAATCACACTTCCAAGGAAAGTCAGAAAACAAAGTCCGCCAGAAACGGGGAAAGAACACACACTACATCTCACGATGGCACAGTCTAACACAAGGGTGCTGAGCATGCATCTGCAAGGTCAACAGAGGACAAAACGGGACAAAGACATGGTCAGATGGGGCTACAGGGCGGGGGGCTCATCACCTGAAGCTTCTGCTGCTCCCTCCTCTTTGCCGGCAGATCATAGAGGCGATTGCTGCTTTCTTGGACCATCTTCTCAGTTTTACTCAGCCAGTCCTGGATAGGCTCAGCACTTACTTCAAAGTCCTTCATTTGGATCTTTAGATTCTGCAAGGTTTTAGATCATGTCCAGGACAAGAAAATATTTTAATAGCAAGTCCAAGGTCCTTCACTTGGCATTCAAAGTCCACCCAGGCCAGGCGCAGTGGCTCACATCTATAATCCCAGCACTTTGGGTGGCAGAGGCAAGCAAATAGCTTAAGCTCAGGAGTTCAAGACCAGCCTGGGCAACATGGTGAGACCCTGTCTCTACTAAAATACAAAAAGTCAGCTGGCTGTTGTGGCATGCCCCTGTAATCTCAGCTACTCAGGAGGCTGAGGCAGGAGAATTGCTTGAACTTGGGAGGTGGGGGTTGCAGTGAGCTGAGATCATGCCATTGCACTCCAGCCTGGGCAACAGAGGTGACTCTGTCTTAGAAAGAATACTCCACAAAAACAAAGTCCACCCCAAGGTCTGGAACATTCCATCTTTTACCTTAGCACCAATATAATTATTGAACATCCTTTAAGAAATTTGTAGGGTTCTCCTTTTGAAAATAGAATCTCCCCCCCAGCTCTCCAGCCCACTTTTGAGATCACACCCATTTCTCAACTTCTAGAGCATTTGTTGTCTGTATATACCTATATATTTCAACATAGACTGGGTTGAATTGTGAATTTTCATCTGGTGTAGGTGTGCCTTGTCTTCAAAACTAGACTGGAAGCTCCATGAGGGGAGTGCCTGAATCTGATACTTCCTGAGACACACCATAGTCCCTTACAAAAATTTAAAGAAATGTTTGTCAACATTTAGTTGATTTTCATTAATAAGGATACAAGAAGTAGCATATAGATGTAGTTTACATGCTTATTTTATTAACAAATAGTTTATTCTGATTTATAAAGTGGTAAGAAATACCAAATAATGTTATGTGCTTATCACATAAGAATGTCATAAATATATTGACAGTTACTCTGTAGTACCCTAGGTGTAAAATGTGTTTGATAAAGTTTTATATGGTACTGTGTAGCTTCAGCAAAGGTGTCTGCATCTGCTGTGTAATACTTATAAAGTGGTAAGGGGACATGAATGTGAATTTGTTATTTATGTTACCATGTGTACCAACTAAAGGCTTTAAAAACATCCAGTACTTTAGGTAGCTTTGTCTAAGAGGAAGTACATAAAGGGTAGCTGAAAAATCTAAGTGGTAAGAACTAATGAAGCCTGTGGGAGAATGGCTCAAGGTTCCCTCTGCATCTTTTCTAGGATGTCTACAACATGGGGAAAATCACATCTGCCTTACTCGCCTCTGAGGGAGATGGGTTAGCTGTAAGAATCCTTTGGAAAGTTAGTATCTCACTAATGTAAGACACCACAATAACTTCTGGAGTATTCTACTAAAATTTAGGTTGCATGAAGGCAGAGACTCAGTACTGTTTTATTCTCTGCTATAGCCCTAGAGCCTAGACTAATCCTTCACAAATAGAAGATGCTCAACAAATATTTGTGGAATAATTAAATTCATAAATTCAAGGTGTTTCCATCTTCCTGTTACTGGAGTCTCATGGGGCCACTTGATATGGTTTGGCTGTGTTCCCACCCAAATCTCATCCTGAATTGTAATTCTCATAATCCCCATGTATCTTGGGAGGGGCCCAATGGGAGGTAATTGAAGCATGGGGTGGTTACTCCCATGAAGCTGTTCTCATGATAGTGAGTGAGTTCTCACGAGACCTGATTATTTTATAATGGGCTTTCCCCACTTTTGCTTGTACTTCTCCTTCCTGCCACCATGCGAAGAAGGACATGTTTGCTTCCCCTTCTGCCATAATTGTAAGTTTCCTGAGGCCTCCCCAGCCCTGCAGAACTATGAGTCAATTAAATCTCTCTTCTTCATAAACTACCTAGTCTTGAGTATGTCCTAATAGCAACGTGAGAATGAATGAATACACCACTAAACAGCGCAAATGGGGGACCATAATCAGGAATTTTGGTTCCAAAAGGAAGGGAGATGAAAGGGGAGAGGAGGTGGGGGAAAGGAGGAGAGGTGAGGGGAAAGGAGAGGAGGGAGGGGAGGGGAAGAAAAGGAGGGGAGAGGAAGGAAAAAGGTAAGGAAATAATCAAATAAAACAGATAGATAGATACCTATTCTGAGAGGAATAGCAGATTAAGAAAACAGGAAATTCATGACCTATACACCTATTTTTGGGCATCTCTTGAACTAGGTAACTTTGCAATCAATGTTAAATATGCTACATTCAACAGCTGAGGCTTCAGAGCTCAGACCACATAGCACTAATGATCCCTGAAGGATTAGGGAAACATTTCTAGGCACAATGGTTATACTCTGTTAAACGGAGAATGCTGGCCGTGAAAAAACAGTCACCATTATTAAAGAGAGATCAATGGTCTTGAATCAGGAAAGAATTGAGAAAATACAGATTTTCTCTTACTGAATATTATTTCTCTATGATTATCTTTTTCCAGCCTTCATCAGTAATGATCACAGGCAAATGAAGGATCTATTCTGCCAAAAAGTATTTTAAAAGGAAAAGATACCTCTCCATGCCTCTAAATTTTCCTCTGAAAGAAGAGTTGATATATAAAATAAATAATCTCAGAAGAAAAAAAATAATTATATTGTGGCAGTAATTATTTTATGGTTATAATAGATTCATCTTCTACTGTGTCTGGAGAAAATAAAATTATATAAACATTGTTTCTGCATCTTTAACTCCTAAAAAGCTGCTACCTTGTATTTGCATTAGTTATACCCTCTCGTCTGTAACATTTCGTGGCTTATATAGATATTCCTGTTCATTCTCCTATACCACCTTCCAAAACTGAGGCAAATTCACATGGAAAACTAAGTGTTCTGCTGAAAGATAAACCTGGTCGTTCCTGCTGGGAGAGTGCAAAGGCAAGTCAGTGACAATAGACTCTAACATGCAAAAAGCTACTTAATTCTTCAGGGAGGCTCGCGCTTCTAGCATGGAGCTGCTTCTTACTGTTAGTCCGTTGTCCACTTATGGTCAGAGACGGGTGACCAAAATCATTGACAAGGGGACTCTGATATACAGAAACTGTGGTTTCACTAACAACGACAACAATAACAAATAACACAGAATATTTCCGTGTGGTTGGCTATCTATACCTCTAGAGCAGATTCTTTTTGGTGGAGACTTGAATGAAAATTTTTCCAATCTTCTTTTGCGGCTGCAACTTTGGCCTGGATCCCTTTGGCTTTCTCTTTGGCCAGCAGGGTGCTCAGAAGTTCCCCTTTAGACAGCATCATGTTTAGCTTGTGCTGCCCATTTTCACTTTCCGACATAAACTCCTATAAAAGAAAATATCAAATTAGTCGCAATAAAACATGTTCTGTGCTGTTTTTATTATTTCTTGATAACATCAAAGAAAAGGAAAGAAACTCTTTTTATTGCATACATTAAATGACCCAGGTCATCCTTTAACAGTCAAATTGCGGCTGGGCATGGTGGCTCATGCCTGTAATCCCAGTAATCTGGGAGGCTGAGGCAGGTGGATCACAAGGTCAAGAGACTAAGACCATGCTGGCCAACACTGTGAAACTCCATCTCTACTAAAAATACAAAACTTAGCTGGGCATGGTGGCATGCACCTGTAGTCCTAGCTACTCGGGAGGCTGAGGCAAGAGAATCGCTTAAACCCAGGAGGTGGATGTTCCAGTGAGCCAAGGTCATGCCACTGTACTCCAGCCTGGTGACAAGTCAAGATGCAAACCACTTTATTTACCAATCTAAATTCGGACCTATCTCAAAAAAGGTGGTGAGCTATCTCATAAAATATTAAAAATTAGATTAAAAAAAAACAGGAGAGGAAATGAAGACCAAGGGAAAAATCATAGTCACAAAATAAATTAAACTCTGGCCAAGACTCATTTACAAAATAAATGCCTTGCAGTTCCATATAGTTGGTGGAGCTGGATTATGATTTTGGCTCTGAGGATCCTAGCTGCCAAAGCAAAAGAGTAAACACAACGAAGGACAAGACTCATGGAGCCCACAGGATAAAAACACATCATCTGCTCAGCAGAAGCACAATTCTCCCTAGGAAAAGACAGGAGATGAATTTCCATGGGGAGTCTTATTAAAATAAATGCTATTAAATGGAGCAGATTACATTATTAGCAGTGGTTTATATTTTTAAAAATATCAACAGAGTATTGTCCTTATGAAGACAAGTCAATGACATGATGCCAAACTGTAGTTTAATAAAGTGTAGCTACAGGATGTACTTTTTTCTTCATGTGGCTATATCAGTCTTCCTCTAGAAAAATGTGTAGATTTGGCTGGGCACGGTGGCTCATGCCTGTAATCCCAGCCCTTTGGGAGGCTGAGGCGGGTGGACCATGAGGTCGGGAGATAGAGACCATCCTGGCTAACATGATGAAACCCCATCTTTACTAAAAATAAAAAAAATTATCCTGGGCGTGTTGGCACGTGCCTGTAGTCCCAGCTACTCAGGAGGCTGAGGCAGGAGAATCGCTTGAATCTGGGAGGCAGAGTTTGCAGTGAGCCGAGATTATGCCACTGCACTCCAACCTGGGTGACAGAGCATGACTCCACCTCAAAAAAAAAAAAAAAAAAAAAGAAAGAAAAAAGAAAAATGGGTAGGTTCTGTATTCTACAGTCAACTCTCAATATTTTCAAGTGCTAAAGAAGAAAAAAAGCACAAGCTCAGTTATCTATTCTGACAAGAAACAGAAGCACAGCTATTCTACTGTAGATTTTGATTAAAGCAACTTCGCCAAACATTTGTCTTAATGGATGGCCACCCCTGTTCATGGAGGCTTGCTGTGGTGGGAGGGTTAGAGAAAAGCCCAAAGCTGTCCTCAAAAATAGTACTAGCCGTGTGCAGTGGCTCACGCTTGTAATCCCAGCACTTTGGGAGGCCAAGGCGGGCGAATCATTTGTGCCCAGGAGTTCAAGAACAGCCCCAGCAACATGGTGAAACTTCGTCTCTACCCAAAATACAAATGTTAGCTGGACGTGTTGACGCATGCCTGTAATTCCAGCTACTCAGGAGGCTGAGGCAGGAGGATCGCTTGAACCTAGGAGACAGAGGTTGCCATGAACCAAGATTGTGCCACTGGACACCAGCCTGGGTGACAGAGCAAAACCCCGTCTCAAAAAAAAGAAAAGAAAAGAAAAATAGTACTATGTTTCTCCAACGTAGAAAAATAGGATTGAGGTTCTGCAGTTCTACCCCCGCCTGCAGCAAAACAGAAAAAATTTTACTATTTATTTATTTTTTTAATTTTTAATGTTATTATTTTTTGAGACAGATTCTCGCTCTGCCACCCAGGCTGGGGTGCAGTGGTGTAATCTTGCCTCACTGCAATCTCCGCCTCCCGAGTTTAAGCAATTCTCCTGCCTCAGCCTCCCAAGTGGCTATGTAGGATTATGGGTGCCCACCACTATGGTTGGCTAATTCTTTTATTTTTTTTTAGTAGAGACAAGGTTTCGCCATGTTGGCTAGACTGGTCTCAAACTCCTGATCTCAAGTGATCTGCCCACCGTGGCCTCCCAAAGTGCTGGGATTACAGGTGTGAGCCACTGTACTCGTCCAGGAAGAATTTTAAATGGAGCAAACCTTTCAAAGGAAGAGTTGTCCTGTTATATTAAGTTATTAACCAAGAATTCAAAAAGGCGAACTGGATATGAACAATACTGTTTCAGAGCCTGCTCCTACTAGAGACATTCAAGCACGAACACTTACACAGTGTTTTACATACTTACACTCTCTGAAAGAAACTCAAATTTCATAACCAATCACTCAGAACTGCTGCTCTGCGAAAGGATCAGATGTACAAGTATGAAAGGCAATTTCAGTAACTGTGCCTAAAAAATGCTGCTATTGGCCAGGCATGGTGGTCCACGCCTATAATCCCAGCACTTTGAGAAGCTGAGGTAGGTGAATCACTTGAGGTCAGGAGTTCGAGACCAGCCTGGTCAACATGGCGAAACCCCGTCTCTACTAAAAAATTCAAAAATTAGCTAGATGCAGTGGCAGGTGCCTGTAATTCCAGCTATTTGGGAGGCCGAGGCAAGAGAATCGCTTGAACCTGGGAGGCGGAGGTTGCAGTGAGCCAAGATCCTGCCATTGCACTCCAGCCTGGGTGACAGATCAAGACTTTGTCTCACCAAAAAAAAAAAAAAAAAAAAAAAAAAAAAATTACTGCTATTGAATTAAGGTGGTATGTGAATTGGCACCATGAAGTTACAGTTAGGTAAAGAAAAAACTAGAAAAATAAACCCAAATGAACGAATGTAAAATATAAACATAGTTCTCACTATCTTAACACACCAGCTCTGTGACCTCACTGATGCTTTTACCCTGCTGTACACTGGGAATAATGAATTTACATACCTGAAATGTTGTGAAAACTAAATGAGAAAAAGCACTTAGAGTGCTCAGGAACAATGCATGTCACGCAGAAAACTTTTTATTATTTCCTATATCACTATTTGCATATAAAAAGTGTGCATTTATGTAAATGAACTGGTTTCTCTTCACATACAGAATCAGTTCTTTCAAGTGGGGATTTATTTGAAATTTGAATTCCTTAGGCAAAACTTTTGTATGTGATGCCCTTCTGAAAAGATCTAGAGCAGTGGCCTCCTAGGTTTTCAGCACCAGGGACTAGTTTCATGGATGACAATTTTTCCACAGATGGAGTGGGGGGTGGGGGTGATTGTTTCAGGATGAAACTGCTCAACCTCATCATCGAGCATTAGTTAGATTCTCATAAGGAGGACACAGCCTAGATCCCTTGTATGCACAGGTCACAATGGGGTTCAAGCTCCTATGAGAACCTAATGTGGCAGCTGATCGGACAGGAGGTGGAGCTCAGGCAGGAATGCTCCCTCACCTACTGCTCACCTCCTGCTGTGAGGTCTGGTTCTTAACAGACCAGGGACAGGTACCAGTCCACAGCCCCCAGGAGTTGGGGACTCTTGACCTAGAGGTAACTTTAATCCACATCAGCACTGCTACTAGAATTAATTGATAACACTCTTACCTGTATTTTCTGAAGACTAGTTGAAACTTCACTAATATTTTGAGGTATATCAAAACACTTGGCAGTAGTGATTTTTGCATTAACCAACCACTGCTGGAAATCCCTGAAGGCTTTTCGAAATCTTTGTTGTAAAATCTGTTCTTTATTCTGGCAGCCCTTGGATGCTTGCAAACAAAGACTGAAAAGGTGATTTGAAAATTTAATGGCAGGAAAAAGCAATAAAATTGATGAAAATAATGTTTCATAGAATCAGCAGTTCTTAGAATGTGCACTTACCTCATTTAGTAATATATTTAATGCTGAATTAATATTATTTTGAAATTACACCTTAAAATAAACCTCTAGCTTCTAATTTGTATGAAAATATCTTGAACACCAATAAGGTTCATGCTCACCAATTATACTCTTTAATTAACCCAGAAACTTTTCCACTGTAAGTACTCAGGTCTCTGGAAAATCGACAAAGTTCATTCAGCTGAGACTTGAGATCCTCTGTTCTAGGCTCTGCTTTTTGTAAAGCATCCAGTATCTCCTGTTCAGAAATAATGAGACAGAGAAGCAAGCACTTACACTGGGTGATCTCTATATCTTCAAACTATACCCGCAACAATCATGTATAAATTATTAGTGAGAGAGGAACCAACATAGTAGATTCAATGAAGAAAGAAAGCCTATTTTCAGGATTCCTCTGACAAATAATAGCACCTGGCTCACTTGTCCCCTTTTTCTAGCCATGAATAGGCACTCTAGCATCAAATATTGCCAAATAGTTAAGTGATTAAGTGGTCAAATGACTTAAAAATGAGACATGATAAAAGAAAAGAGAAAATAGCCTACATCATTTACAAATAGACTGACAAGGCCATTGGGAGATATATATATATTGTTTAAAGGTGAAAAGAAATCATTTTAAAGAAAAGCAGCACTTATTTTGAATTAAATTTATATAAATTATATATATATATTACATTTATATATACATATATATAAAAATCCAAAATTGAATCATATTTCAACTGATTTTATGTATTATACACAGTTAACTTTTGCATTAAGAATATCTTATAATCCATGAGTCTGGTTTAAATAGTTATTTATTTCATATTTTCATTCATAAAGTCATCAAATATTTGCTAAATGTTTGGTATGTGCCAAGCATTTTGCTGGATTCTGGGACCTCTCATCCCCCCATGAATAAAGGTAAGATTCCTGTTCTTGAAGAGCTCCCAATTTTTAATAGATGAGGGAGACATGTGAATAGCTACAGTACTGTGTACACCTAATCCAAAATAAGGCCTTAGGACTTGAAAAGTACACCTCTGAAATCGAGGCCATGGTCACCTGAGTTACACAAGGTGCTTTGCAATCAGAGTGTTCCTCTCCTAGGGTTGTCACAGGGAGCAAAAGAGATCATGAATGTCAAACAGCACAATTTCTAGCACACTAAGTGTCTAATTCATAAAATTAGCAGGAAAATGACTCCCACATATGTAAACACTGAGTGGATAATGGTAGCACTGAAGCAAAAACCAAAATAAATTAAGGAGGAGGGTCAAAAAGATGAGTAACTACTCAAACAGCTGTTACTGTGGCCATTATTGTCCAAGATATTTGTCAAGAGATGGCCCAGATTTGCAGAGAAACCACATCCCTCAACAAACCAGCCCTGTGCTGCATTCCTTGTCCTGGTAAATGGCACCACTGTCCCCTGCTGATGTCAATCAGAAGACCAAGCATCACCCTGCCTCTCCCTTTGTTTCCCTTCTCACTCCATGCAAGAGATATCCAGGCTAGCTTATTCTGTGTCTTAGCTCCTTTCATCACTCTCCTCTGCCTCTGTACATAGACTTTCATGGACCCACTTACATATTCATTATTTCTTTCTGGAGTGGCACGGCATCCTCCTAATCTGATTCCTACTCTCTACCTTCCTCTCCTGTGTTTTGTGATTCCTCAATGATCCTGCATCTTGATGCTGTTCCTCTACCTCACCTGTCAGGTCATATTTTAATCATACTTCAAGACTCAGCTCAAAGAACAACTCCTTTAAGTATCCCCTGCCCTCCTTCCCAACTCTTCAGGCTTCTCATCTGAGGATACACAGGACCTCGCAGACATTCATCACAAGGAGTATCCCCATCAGTTTCATACTTGTGTATTTCCCTATCTAGACTGCGATCATGAGAGCAGGAAATACGTTCTCTTGGTTTGTCAATTATTTATTTAACTCGGCTGGAGGAGTCTAAAACATTTTTACTTACAAAAATTTATGAATAACTAAACAATTTCTCTCTGAAACTGTAAACATTAAACTAGGGCCAACTATTTTACACCATATTGAACCCTTTACTTAAGACAGAACACTGTAAGAACTAAAGAAACAACATATAACAAAAGCATAAAAATACTAGAGACTCAAGTCAGTTACTTATGAATGAGATGACATTAAAAGTTACAAGTTTTTGACCAAAACTTTACATTTAAAATATTTCTATAACTTTATCCTAAAGTATGTCAGTAGAGTCTTCCATTATATAAATATCAGCTTATATATTTCTAATTCGGTTAAGTTCTAAAATGCGTTTTTTTCATCTTATACGGCTTAAGAAAATTATTTCCAGCACTAATATCCCAATGGATATTAAGATAAATGAGTTTTGTAAACACAGAAAATACAATTCTTTTTGCAATATTATATAGTTTATACATCACCTCTTTTTATGTTTTAAAGAATTTCTTGAGTATTGTTATTTAACTGCATAAAATAAATACTTGTGATTCTTGTGGTGACCATCAACGATGGCAAGGCTTCCCTAAAAGCAAAACCATGCCCTAAGAACCCTAGTTTATCTCCTACTTTGTAAACATTTTCTTACATATTCATTGTGATAGAAATATCTCCACTTTTAGATAAAATGTCATTATTAGAAATAAAGAAAATATGAATATTGAGAAATGATGTAGTATTGTCATCAAAAGCACTGACTCTGGAGTCAAATCTGGAAGTAGACACACTCAGAGGGCTGTCATCTTTGAACTGTTTAATACAACTGAAAGCCCATATTTACTACTGCATTCTCATGTGTATTTTTATAGGCCTCAATTATTATTTTCACTAATAACGTCAATGTAAAAGGTAACAACAGCAGAAGAGGAATGTAATCTAGGCACAACCAAATCTTTCCTTTTTAAAAATTTCACTCGCGTAGAAAGAAAGGGAAACAAAAAGGAACCCAAGCAGTATAATTGATTTTTTTCATATTACACCATGTAGAACAATTATCAACTTCGTTATCTCTGTGTTACAGAACTGATTTCTATGCTTTATTCTGGTACGTAAATCTAAAGGACAGGAAATGCAACAGAATAGCAAAAACAAATCCCAAAACCTAGAAGCATTATAAATAAATTGGCATAAGGAGATAGAAGTCTTTATTTTATGGCATGCTGTATTTGTTTTAAATACTTGATTTAAAACAAGACACTGCTGGAAGTACTACGTGACTTTCTTACTGGCAGGAGCTATTTTGAAATGATTATAATATAAATAGGAGCAGAGAAGTTTACTAAACTGCCTTTTAAGGACATCATGAATCAGGGCATTATAAAACTGGAAATACTGAAAAGGCTTTCAAAGACACTGCTTAACAGTGAAAGAAGGGAAGAGGAGGTTAAGCTGTTGCTCATTCTTCAGTCTCCCTCCTAGACTTGCCTTTCTCACATTCTAAAGAAGCTGCCATTAGCTTTTTTAAAAAAACAGCCCGGGAAGGCGACCAGGGAGTGTGACATAGGAGTTCTGTTAACAGGCTAATTCAAGAACAGATGTCAAAACCACACAGAGGAGAGCTAATCGGGGTGAAAACTATTAGTTGTGCTTTAGGAGATTACCAGATGAGTCTTTTAAGGCTGTAAGTTCAATCATTTAGTTGTATGAAATAGTTAACTGGCAAGAAAACAGCTATGACTCTCTGTCTATTTATGCCACTGCCCACAGGCCATTTTTCAGACTGAATGGCTGAATACAGTATTACAAGCTGTTACACCATAGGATTGAAAGTAAAACGTCTCCGCTAACAACAGATGTTTCCTGCCACAAATAATAACCCAAATCTTTATTTTTACAAAAGTTTGATACGGGAAGAAAGACCACAAATCAGACTTTGCTTGTTTAATGAGATAAATAATTCTTCCAAGTGTGAATGTTGCATGCTTTTAGTTAGCAAGTTTGTTTTTAAGGAACAAGGGGTGACAGAACATTTTTAAAAGCATAATCACGGATAGAAAACACGAAGCCAACTTACTTGTCCTTTGTGCCAGCATGCCACTATCTCCTCATCCGTGTTCTTGCCTTCCAGGAGGGTTAACTGCTGAGCCCAGGTTTTCAGAAGAGCGCTGAACTCTTCCAGGGCCTGCTCCAGTTGAGCCACTTGGCCCGAGAACTCCTGCTCCGAAAGGGCCATCTGGCTGACCAGGTCCTCCAAACGGCTCTGCGTTTGGAAGACACTGTCTTCCCACTGCTTCCAGTCGGCACGCAGGGCCTGCATCTCCGTGTGCATGAGCTCACACCCACTGGCAGTTGTGTTCTGTTTCACTTCAGGAGCCAGCGACTCCACTCTGCTGAGGCGGCTTGCACCAATCTCTCTGGAATCTATCAGCTCCTGTAATGGAATATCACCATGGTAACCAAAGAGCCTGTGAGTCACTTGGACTGCAAGTGTTCAAATGTGTACAGAGGGGGACCCTGTCCTGCTAGAAAGTTTCAACAAGTGTGCCACAAGGACCTAGAATCAATTCATCTGCCCACTCTTAAATCATAATAGCAGGAGCTGTCATCATGAACACCTAAGGCTTATGGCAAAAAAAACCTCAAGAATCCTCAGTATCCTGAAACAGACTAAACAGGGACCCTGAAATCAAGCATTATTTGCACTCGTGAGAATGTTTGGATAGTAACTCAAGCATTTGCCTGTGGCGGGTTGCTCCTGTAAATGATCAAACCCATATTTCCCTCGAAGTGGATGCTCAAGTAAATAAAGATTGTGGCAGAACTGTGTTCTGCTCACGGTCTGTATTCTCAATTCATCTTTTTCCACAGAGTGGTGGCTTAAAATACACTTCCGTTCTGCTAGGAATCAATCGGACTCATCACAACAAAAGAATGAGCCCTAGTCAATCCCAAATACTGCAATACCTTAAGTAAACATTTTTTGAGCAAATAAAATGAATAATTTCATTCACAGACTGACTTACTTGAAAGTTTAAAGTAACGTCTAGGACTGGGTTCTTTTTAGTATTTTTTTATCTTAAGTCACTAGAAATTAAACAGTTTAGCTAAAGCCAAGTTAACAAATTTAGCTTAGCCTTAAAGCACACAAATACTCTAAAGGACAACATGATAAAATTAAATATGCATTTTTTTTTTTTTTTGAGATGGAGTCTTGCCCTGCCGCCCAGGCTAGAGTGCAGTGGCATAATCTTGGCTCATTGCAACCTCTGCCTCCCAGGTTCAAGCGATTCTCCTGCCTTAGCCTCTCGAGTAGGTGGGATTACAGGCATGCACCATCACACTCGGCTAACTTTTTGTATCTTTAGTAGAGACAGGCTTTCACCATGTTGGCCAGGCTACTCTCGAACTCCCGACCTTGTGATCTGCCCACCTTGGCCTCCCAAAGTGCCGGGATTACAGGAGTGAGCCACCACACCCAGCACATATGTGTTGTTAAATTGAAATAATTGTGGCATTTCTCTCTTACTACACTTTTTCTTGGTGAAATATTATCCAATGGTTGTTTACATATTTATTGCTGAAGGCAGGATTTTGTTAATATTATTACAAAATTATGACTTTACTACCGAATTAAATAGAAATAAAAGATAATTAGGCACAAAAAAGTTCAAAAAGAAAATCAGTGACCAATTAAAAGTGAAGAAATGTTGGGATGTTAAGGATGAAGCGTGCTTAATAAATTATGTTAAGCACAGAGTATGTCTTAATTAGTCTATATAATATAATTTGCATCTCATTAAATTAACTTGAAATAAATATATCTGTTCACAATTATATACAATAGAGCCATATTTTGATATAGATCATTTGAAAGTATTCAGTATTCAGTTGTACAGTACTCTAAATTACGATGACATGAAAAGCCTTATATACAGCATGATATGCATATTCAATCTTTTCTAAGCAGCAGGATTCTAAAAACCATGCCTGTTTATTAGTGCATATAATAGTTATTTGATAAAGAAAGAATTAACTTTTTAACCAGTGCTATGTCTAACAGACCTAAATACTTACAATAATTTGCCTTTATGAGCAATTTCAAATTTGGAGTTCAGAAGGTATCATTGGCCAAAAGTCAATTTCCCAAAATACTCTCATGCTTTATCCCAGTAATATTCGTAATCAGAAATCCAGTCATTCAGATTTTGATTAAAGACATCATCATTGTCAAGAGTCTTAAAATGGCTTTTGCATATATTATCTGGTATTTAAAATTTTTAAACATATGATATGCACATACACACAAATGTACATTCACGCCCTCATACCCGTACACATTTTGCATTAGAGTTGCCTTTTCTCAGGGATTATTCCTGTGTATGGGCGAGGATGTTGAAGGACAGAGGAGGTGCTTTATGTATTTTCCTCAAGGTTTTTAAAACCGCCCACATACTAACCTACATTCAGGCTGGACCTGAACTTCTGAAAGGCAGTTTCTCATAGTCTTCATGTTCTCCATCCCAATTTCTTCCTGCCAATTCCTTGTCTTTTTGGAAGTATTTTACTACATTTTTAAAAAATTTTCCAAATAAAAAAGAGTATTTATCAACCCAGGAAGCAGCCTTTGTAAAAAAAATTATTTTACTTTCTCTTATTAACTTTTGAAATATTAGTCCATTTCTGCTATCTCCTCTTCCTCATCTATCATTTACTTTTAAATCCATGTAACCTTGTTTCTTACCTCCCCTTGCTGTGCAAATGTTTCTCAGACTGGTTCCCAAACAGCCTCACTGTCAAACCCAGCTGGGATTCTCCAGTATTCCTCCTAATGGCAGCCTCCTGCCACGGTGGCATCACACCCTCCTACTCTTCCTTTTCTTACTTCTCTTCTCCTTTTTCTCTCTACCTTTCAAATCATTTTCTCCTGTGGCTCCTTAAATATTGGTAGTACCCAGCTTTTGGTCCTGTGCCCATTGTTGTATTTGCTCTATACATAGGTCTTGGTTCTTGGTTTTATCCACTTAGGTGGCTTTAACAACAAATTACACACTAATCACTTTCAACTCTGTGTCTTCAATCCATCTCCCCAACCTGAAATTCAGGCTTGAATATGCAACTGCCCCCAAGACGTTACTACTACCTGGCAGTTCAAATTGGATCTGATTATCAACAAACTCCTCATGTCTTCCCCTCTGTCACCAGGCTCCTCTGCATGTAATTATTTTCTTCAGGTGACGAGAGTCCTGTGGATTCTAGGTAAAGACTTGACCATCATCCCTGACTCTTCCCACTTTGTCATGCTATAGCCAATTAATCACTCATTTATCAAATCCACTGGATTTTCTTATTAGGTGTGTTCTGTGTGGCAGGCATGATACTACAAGTTTTATGTGAATGATCTAATCTGGTCGTCAAAACAACTCTATTAGACAGGTACTATTTTTATTTATGTATTTTTTTGACCAGTTGAGAGGCTGAGGCTTGAGGACATCAGATGATCCGCTGAAAGACACAGCTAGAAAGCCAATAGAAGAAGGACGCAGCATTGGGTTTCTCTAATTTCAGAGCCCGAACTCTAATAGTGCAGTAAGCTTTCATTACATTTTGTGTGTTATTTTACAAAAACCAGTTTGTGGATCACTGTTCCTCACTGGACTGCAAGTTCCTTAGGGGATGTACAATCCTGGCTGAATAAATGGATAAATTAGTAGATAAATGGATGGAAGGATGGATGAATAAATCAGAATATTACTAAGAAATGTATCAATAAGGATTTTAAAGAATAACACAGAAAAAAATGACTTAAAAAGTGGTTTTATGTTATTATCTCAGTTAAAACACACGTAATCATAAGATTTAAATAAGTTAACGCTTTTAGAGCATTTAGAAGTAGATCTTCAGGGGACGGGCTCATGCCTGTAGTTCCAACACTTTGGGATGCCAAGGCAGGTGGATTATCCAAGGCCAGGAGTTTGGGACCAGCCTGGCCATCATGGTGAAAACCCGTCTCTACTAAAAAAAAATACAAAAATTAGCCAGGCGTGGTGGCAGGCACCTGTTATCCCACCTACTCAGGAGGCTGAGATAGGAGAATTGCTCGAACCCAGGAGGCGGAGGTTACAGTGAGCCAAGATCATGCCATTGCACTCCATCTTGGGTGACAGAGCAAGACTCTGTCTCAAAAATAAACAAACAAGTAGATCTGCAAAATGTAGTTACAATTGTAACAATCAGCTGTAAGTTTTATGACTTTTGTGTTCTGATCTTGGAATCAAAAATTCAAAACAATTTGAATTTTAAATTACTGACACAATTATACCATTTATTCCCCTCATTTCCTCCTCTAAAACTAAACCACTAAAATTTTATTGCTGCTTCATTTTAATCTTAAAATCCATTATTTTCCATGAGAGAAAATGATTACAATTTAATATTTAAGCAACTAGAAATTTACTAAAAGATGCTAGAGTCTGCAACTCCCCCAGAAAGGTAAATTTTTGTTTTAGAAATTGTCCTATGAGGAGCAAATGGATGATAATTTTAATGTCCTTTGAAGTACTCCCTTCTATTCTGTTGTTGAATGCTGTCTAGGAAAGCAGAATGAAACATCCAGAATGGCATTTCCCAGGTTATTGTTACAATACATTTAACTAAGTTACTATGTACACTTTTCTTCCAGGTGCTAAACAATGGTATCTGGTTTTGTCAGCCCACCAAGGTAGCCATTTCCTAGCCTGTCATATTACAGCAATAAGCACAGTTGCATACAGAAATGTAAAGACAGTGTTACATTTTGTTCACAAGCCTAAAGTCTTTTGAATTCTTCTCAGTACTCTCATTTATGTTTAGAATCAGTGAAACGTGAGGTAATAAACACCATCAAATAGAAAACAGGAAGGCAACATTTTAAATAACAGAATCTTATCCACTAAATCTTTATCAAAAGTATGTTGTACTCAAGAAGGAATAAAGCAATGTAGATATAGCATCTGCTCATTTTCTGACCTTAATTTTTGACAACTTTTTCTGGGTGGCTGATGAATCTCCAGACATATCTGACCACCGGTGAAGTTCTTCCTTGGCTGAATGGAGCCAATCTGTAAACTCCTGGACCGCATCTAAATACATTAGATGGTCTTTCACAATCTCTTCCACTTTCCTCATTTTTTCCTAGTAAGCAAAGAAATGGCTACCTTAACAGTATTCCTTTTGAGAATATGAAATCAAATAAGACAACATGCCTGATAGAAGTCTCTTAATAAATCTCAGAAAATTTCATTCTTGTTCTTGAATTTTCTCTGAATATAATATCTTAAAACTATGAAATTAAACAGTCAAGGCTTTGGGAAAGCAACTAGTTTCCTGTAAGCTTACCATTTTCTACCTTAATATGGAAATCTATGCTTAATGTATGTTGGCTAACATCCCTCACTAACAATCCACTTAATAATTACTATGATAATCATTCTTATTAAAGCAATTATTTTTAGATTGCTGTACAGCATTTTGCTCAGCACTTTAAACACATTTGCTCATTTAATCTTCACAACGGTCCTGTGCAGAAGATAACATTATTATCATCATTTTATAGGAAAAGACGCTCAGGCTTAGAGAGGTTAGGTAACGTGTAATCATGGCCAAAGTCACACATTCAAAAGTGTCAAAGCCAGAATTCAAACTTACGTCTTTTTGACTTGAGTCATAGCTCTTAATCATTACCAAGATGAAAATGAAGATAAAGAGGCACATCTGTTAATAATTGTAGTGTCAACAAGAGAAGAGTTAGTTCCCAACAAGGTGAATGAAAGAAAGGAAAAAGCAGCAAACAACAAAAACTTTCTCCCTAAATTACTATAATATTTACAAATATACCAAAGAATAATTATGAAGGAAATGAAAGATTCATATAAAGAATTGGAGAGATCATTTTGATATTATATAAAGGAGTTTATACTTTCGAATATGGAAAAATTCAGTTTTACTAAGATGAGAGATGAATACAATATTTTGTACACGATTGAATCTGGGAGGTACACAGATTTGCATTTAATATAACAAATATAAGTGCAGCAAAAGAGAAACAGTGAAATTTGATGTACAATGTAGATAGACTAAAAATGTAGACAAAGAAAATAAATAAGGAATAAAGAAGAATCTCAAGATTGCAGAAAGAGAAAAATGCATAGGCATTTATAGTAAGAAATCATCTTTCTGTAATATCCATTTACTGAATGTATAAATAGTTTTAGAGCAGCCAATCCTCCAACAATTTAATCCAGTTTCTTCTTACCTGAGCCTGACCTTGGCAACAGTCATTATATTATTAATATAAATCAATATATTAATGTATCATAAAGCATCTATTTTCAATATAAAGCACTAACCTTGGCAACAGTCATTATATCAGTAAACTGTGTTTTCAACTCCTCTTGAGCTGTGTCCTTGAAAGACTCATCCTCTGTCTTCTCGTAGAGCTCCCTGGACTTTGCATTTAGACGGTGAAGGGCTCTGGAGTGATCTTCCGCCTCAGACAGGACGGACTGGAGACGGTCAAGCAGGGCGAACTTCTCTTTCAGACCTGGCTGTGGTTGTAAGGGATGTTCTACGTTTTGATCCACTGATTCCATCCATTGCTCCAACTGGTTTTTCCTCTCTAGATAGTCATTCCATTGGCTAATCACAGACTCTAAAGTGCTAGAATTAATGCACATATTAACAAAAAATGAGTTATCTTGACATCTTTGGTGAAGACCAATCTCAAGGCTATGACATTCATGCCAATTATTTTACTGAATGCTACTAGAAGTGAAGAAAATGTTGCTTTTGAGTGCAGGGAGAAACACCATCTCTCTGATCCATCAGATCCTCACCACAGGCCCCTTGAACGAAGTAAATCAATATTAAAACATGAAGTAAGAAGTTGTGGTCATACATGCATCTGGAATTTGTTTTCCAAATGCTAACTGTCCTAAATGAACAGACACATTTATATGTTACGTTGCTGAAAATCGGCACTGGAACATCAATGAAATTTTATTTCACATAAATCAGGTCTTAATTTTCTTGGGATTATTAATAGTTTATCTTATCAAAATCAGATGGTGATTATTTGCTGACTGGAATTCAAAATCCAAGGTGTCCATCCTGAGTAAATGATATATCACTAGGTTGATTTTCATTTAGGGACACACACACACACACACACACACACACACACACATACACAATATACAGTGTTTTTGTGTTGAATATGTGAATGAATGCTCAAGTATTGAAGAGAAAAACAGTCACAAATATAATAGCTTTCTAGACATTCAATCAAAAGGCTCTCCAGACTGGCATTTAGGAAAAATCCCTCCATTATTAAGCATTACAAACTATTCTAAACTTATCTGCACTGATTTCCCATGCTCCCCTTACATACATGCCTATGAACCTGAAATTAAAATCCTGTGGTAAATGAATGACCAGCAATGGCTCAAACGTCTGCTTTTGCATCCATGGAACCTTATCATGCAGGTTTTAAAGTCCTACCTCTTCCTCAAATAGTTTTCTAAAAAGTTTCCCACCCTTTTTTTTAAAGACAGAGTCTCACTCTGTCACCAAGGCTGGAGTGCTGTGATGCAATCGTAGCTCACTGCAACCTCTGCCTCCCAGGATCAGGTGATCCTCCTACTTCAGCCTCCCAAGTAGCTGGGACCACAAGTGCGTGCCACCACACCTGGCTAATTTTTGTATATATTTTTTAATTTTGATTGTGACTTCAATAATTTTTGCATTTTCTGTAAAGACATAGTTTAGCCCTGTTGCCCAGACTAGTTTCAAACTCCTGGGCTTAAGCAATCCACCTACCTCAGCCTCCCAAAGTGCTGGGATTACAGGCATTAGCCACCAAGACTCTGCATCCTTCTATAGCCCCACAGTGCATTTTGAGAACTGTTATAATATGGTCTGAGTCAGAATATTCCAAAATACATCCTGTGCTAGTGTCTGAGCTTTTAGAGGGCAAAAACCTTTCTGTTTTATTTTGTTATCTTAACACAATATTTTGAACATTGCTATTACTCAGTATGTCACTGTCAAATTTAATTTCTTGCTGAAATAGTGAAGTCAAAGACCAGAGTCTGCTTCCTGCATGTAACATCTTATTCCAACATCTGAAAATATCTCCCCATATTCCTGTGAACTTTTAGGAAACTGGTCTAAGCCAAGCCTCGGGAAGCCTAGTTCATGCTCCAACAATCTATGATATACAGTAAGACAACTATAGCATCTGATGTTTTTTCTTTACTGACCATTGTGAGTTATTACTAAGATGCAAAGTCCTGCTGACTTTGAGAGTTGCTGCCTATGCTCCATATTAAAGGAAAAAACAACAAAACAAAACAAAACCTCCAAACTGTTAGTTGTACCCAGGAATTACTGTTTACATTGCTGTGGATAGCTACAGTGTTATTTTTGTTTTGCTTTGTCATGAACTTGAATATTCTTTAAACATTTTTTAAAAATTTTATTTTAGGTTCAAGGGTACATGTGCAGAGTAGATATATAGGTAAATTTGTGTCATGGGGGTTTGTTGTAGAGATTATTTTATTACCTACGTACTAAGCCTAGTATATGACAGTTATTTTTTCGCTGCTCTTCTTCCTCCTCCCACCTGCCACCCTCAAGGAGGCTCCAGCATCTTTTATTCTCTTCTCAGTGTCAAATTTAATCTTCTAATCATCTATTTTGTTATGATCACATTGGGCACCAAGGTTGTCAATGATCTAAGAGGATGTCAAACCTCCAATACGGCTTTTTACTGTAATTCTGACTGACGGTCATTTGCTCAACAAATGAGCCAGATTATTTATGGATACTCTGAGAAGAGGGAGGTAGGTAGAAACCTCCCACTTATAATTGCAACAACAACAAAAACACTACCCATTAGTGTCTGGTACAGGTGATTATCAACAGAGGCTCTACGGGCTGTGCTCTATTCTGGTTGGACTGATGGTTGCTTGTGTAGAAACATTCCACACTTTGCAGGATATGAGCTCTTTGTGCCTCAGTGACTAAATGCCAGGGATATTCCCCCATCACTGTGACAGTTAAAACTAACCTACACAATTCCTATAATGCAAATGGGGGTGGTATGACTTCTAGTTGAGGAACAGATTTACAATTAAGCTCAACAGCTGCAAATAGCTTAATTTTCCACATGTTCCTTAAGCTAAAATGTATTCAAGTGATTAAAGAACCATACATTCTTGCTTTGATGGCTTGAAAAGAGATGTTTTGCTGAACCCATGTCATGTAAGATTCCATGAGAGATAATAAGGGAGATTTAAACATTTTAAAAATGCAACAAGAACACAGAAACAAAGCAAGCTAACAACCAAAAACCAGTCATTGCCCTGTGGAAAACACAACTTAGACAAAGACAGGCATACATACAACCTGCTAAAGTAACATACTTGGGAATTCTAACCCAGGGGACCTCGGCACTGCTCCACCATTTTACGAAGTCACTGCATTGGACTTAGGCAAACAAACACCAAAAATAGGTTCTGTACCTCTGAGCATGGACGGAGGAGCTCATGATGTCAGCCCACACTTCTTTAAGGGTCTCTAGCTGTGTCTGAATCACCCTCTGACCTTCTTTGTTGCTGCTTCTCAAGGCCTGTTCCCCCTTGCCGATGGCCATATTCAACTTAACTTCCCCTTCACCTTTCATCAGGAGAATATCCTGGACAGGGGGAAAGAAGACTCATCAGTAGGAATGTAAAAACTTTCTTCTATTTAGAAAATAATGGTAATGTTTTCCTTAAGAATTAAGGTAGGAATATTACCTTAAAAAGAAAAAACAAACTCTGGGTCCTATTACAATATACTTAAAATTAGGTTTCTGGGAGTCTAGGAGTCAAAGATTAATTCCAATATAAATTCTTAGAAAACTTTTGGCCACTAACCTAGAAAGTATAATTGTATTGACTTCAGTTTCAAAGCGTCAAAATAAATTCTTTTGAAAATGAAGACAACCCTGTCTAAAATCCAGCAGTCCCCTACACTAATTGCCTGGCTAATTTCTCTCTTTCAAGGTCACCTTCACGGACTATCGTCTGGGTTGGTGATCTCCTCTGTGCTTTCAATATACCTTTGATGGCTTCAATCATGGCCTCTACACACACTCTGTATTGAAAGTAACAGGTTGGTATCTGCCCCTAGACGGAACTCCTAGAAAATGGAGCCTAACTTTTATCTCTATATTTCCAGCAACTTGCAGAGTGCTTGGAGCAAAGTAGATATTCAATAACGCTTGCTGAATATTTACTAAATCAAATTTAAAATTTAAAGCTATTAAAACAAAAATGTTTCTTTACAAAGGGGAAAAATGTTACTTCCATATCCTTTTTGCCCAGTTTCTCCATTTTGCCCACACAATCCTCATTTAGAGGCTTACAGAACAATTAGCACATAACGTGAGCTCCTGTGAATCTAATCAAATGAGCGTTCAGCAGTTGTCAGTATCTGGCTGGTGTCGCACGTACCTGTATTTGTGACAGCCGTTTCTCCAAGGTGTCTTTGCTTCCAAGAGTGCTCTCTGCACAGGCCAGTCTGTCCTGAATTGCCTTCACCCAGGACCACATGCTCTGCAGTGCTTCCTCCAGGGCTTCATGCTCCTGCAGGGCTACCTGGCAGCTCCGGAGTTTCTCTTTGGTCATTCTAAGTAGGTTCTGGTGGCTCGTTAGGAGCTGGGAACACAGGCGGCCCTCCTGCCCGGCACCATGGCCTTCCTCACTCAGAAGCTGCCCTCTCTGGGAAAGCTTATCAAGAGACTCTCTGAAAAAAAGAAAAGAAAATTAGTTCTGACATTCTGGAGTGCAGGGGAGCAACAAATGGTTGTTGATATTGGAGCGGTAACCAGACACAGGCTCATAGCTGACATGCCTTTTAAATAAAGATGCTGGAAACTGGCCCGGCTATTTCATTCTCTTATGATGTCTCTTAATGTTGTCAGTACCCATTCGGGGATACTATTCAGTCTGTGCTGTGCCTGCATCCCAATAGCAGTGGTGGAGCCTACTGTATTACTCAAACAGTATTTTCAGAAATTCAATTCAGAAAATGGGCCAGCTGCCTCTCCAGGCTTCTCTGCAGCATCTCTCCATTCCTATTTAATTGCCAGATGATGAAAACTCCCTGAAATTCTCAAAATCCCTGCTGTCTTGTAGCTACATGGAGATTCCTCCTTCGTGAAAATCCTTCTGCTCAGCACTGCTGCATTCTTAGTTGCCTGTTCAAAGCTCAGTGCAGCCATCACAATCCCAAGAGCATCCACGCCAACTCAGGGTGGGTGGAGAGTGTGGGATCTCTTTGTGCCCTTTGCTCCTTGTCTTGCTCTATTGCCTCGTATACCGACTATTTCAGTCCATAAGGGTTTCACTTTCTAAAAGCTAGGGACATCATACTCATCTTATGTTCCCAAGACCCAACACAATATTGTGCAGAGGCTGGGTGGGGAAAAAATAGTCCTTTGAAAAGCCGTTGTAGGAGCGCTTCTGAGTTTACTTGTTATACCTTGGGTATTGAGCTTATTTAAGTCTGGTGCCATGTGCCATGTTAATTAGATCAAGAAAAGCGTAATCAGCATATGACTTGGTTGGCTTTATCCTATTTTACAGAGCTCTGAATTCTTTTTTTTTTTTTTTTTTTTGAGACAGGGTTTTGCTCTTATTTCCCAGGCTGGAGTGCAGTGGTGTGATCTCAGCTCACTGCAACCTCCGCCTCCCAGGTTCAAGTGATTCTCCTGCCTCAGCCTCCCGAGGCGCTGGGATTACAGGCATGTGCCACCATGCCCAGCTAATTTTGTATTTTTTGTAGATATGGGGTTTCTCCATGTTGGTCAGATGGGTCTCGAACTCCCAACCTCAGGTGATCCACCTGCCTCAGCCTCCCAAAGTGCTGGGATTATAGACGTGAGCCACTGTGCCTGGCCTGCAGAGTTCTGAATTCTTATTCACACATTTACTCGGAAAAGCCCAGGATACCAGACAGGATCATAGGGATGTTTTAACCTAAACTGTTATGACTACTAGAAAAAGAACAGAAAGCGAATCTCTCATGAAAACTGAATGTTTCAATTTTTTTTTTGAGTGGCTACTATGGAAATATATCCTGTGGTCCACCCTGAGATATACAGAGTTATACAACAAGATACCTACTCTGTAACAAATTGCACATCCTGCACGTGCACCCTGGAACTAATAAAATAAAATGAAACAAAAAACTTGTAATTGTTCGGTGGGACAAGAAGGTGGCTTAAGCAATGATGTCAGTTAAATAATAATTTAAGACAAGAGATTTCCCTTCTTACTATGAAATGAATTGCTTACTCCATGATAAAAAATCCATGAGTCTTAAGCTGAGGTACAGGGCATCTCCTTAAAATACTGGAAATAGAGAAAATATAACGGTGAAAATATTCTAGAAAACTAGGAGGAGTAAGCAGCAAGCCAGTGAGAGAAGTCAGGTGGCCCAGTGGAGAACCTGAGTGACCGGAACGGTGTGTTAGGATTGTCTGCAGAAGTGGACAGGCTGGAGGGAAAGAACCCAGACATGCACACGTAAGGTCTCCAAGCAAATGGTCCTGGAATTTCAGAGGGTGAAACTGCAAGAAAGATTGCATGCTTATCAATGCAAAAAAAAAAAGTTGCAGTTATTAGAAAGCAACCAGGAAGATAAAAAACCTTGAATTTGCTGTTGAAGTTTATTTGGGCTACTTTCTCTAATGGAGTTTTGGTGTAATGATGGCAGGAGAAACAGATACAGAGGAAGGTAATGAGCAGCCTGTAGAGAAGAAATGAAAGTTGAGAATATGGAAAGCCATTTAAAAAGTCTGGAAGAAGGGAAGTAGGTCTGGGTGTGTTATATTGTATCTAGATACAAGTCAAAATTTAGAAAGCAAAATTTAAGTGCAATGTAATTTTCAGAAAGTTATACGGTTGGGATGATGCTATTATTGTGTTAATTCAGTGAACATTTTCTGTTTTTCTGGTGCTATACTAGGTAACAAATGGAAAATGATATAGTTCTTAAGTCCTTGATCTTGGGGAACTCATAGTTGGAAATTGGGGTGCATGGAGTAAACGAAGAGCTTACACTATAGTAAGGGCTCACAGAGATGTTGCAACGTATTTCAGGGACAATTTGTAACAGTCATCAAACTAGCACACCCACAAGTAGTCATCAGTATGGGTTCTCTTGTGCATTTGTTTGTATGTTTGTTTTTCAAGACAAGGAATACTGGGCAAGTTTTACTAAAAAGAGGACTCAGTGGAAACAGAGAATGACTATGATTTCAATGCAGGATTTTTTTTTTTAATACTTTAAGTTCTGAGATACATGTGCAGCACATGAAGGTTTGTTACATACGTATACATGTGCCATGGTGGTTTGCTGTACCCATTAACCCATCATCTACACTAGGTACTTCTCCTAATGCTATCTCTCTCCCAGCCCCCGACACCTCGACAGGCCCCGGTGTGTGATGTTCCCCTCCCTGTGTCCATGTGTTCTCATTGTTCAACATCCACTTATGAGTGGAAACATGAGGTGTTTAGTTTTCTGTTTTTGTGTTAGTTTGCTGAGAATAATGGTTTCCAGGTTCATTCATGTCCCTGCAAAGGACATTAACTCATACTTTTTTATGGCTGCATAGTACTTCATGGTGTGTATGTACCACATTTTCTTTATCTAGTCTATCACTGATGGGCATTTGGGTTGGTTTCAAGTCTTCACTATTGAGAACAGTGCTGCAATAAACATACATATGCATGTGTCTTTATAGTAGAATGATTTATAATATAATGGTTTCTGACTTATTTGATCAAGCAGAGGGGTGTCATCCTCTTCTGCTTCTTATGTAAATGCACTGGCTCTTTAAGAGGAAAGTTAAGGAAGCCCAAGGAGCCAAAGCCAAGCTGCACTTCCCCTGTGGAAATATCTTCCAATGGAGAGCGAGTGACTGAAAATGCCAGAGGTGGAGCACAAATTTGGGAGCAAAGCCCTGAACATGGCAGGGTCAAAAGCACACATCAGGGAACTTTGCCTGGGAAAGGAGCCAGAAATATTTTCTCAGTGGGAAGCAATGAAGAGATGAATACTGTAATTGGGAACAGAAACCACAAAGAAAGTCAGACTTGACCATACCTTTCACTTTACTAAGGTTAGAAGGATGGATGGGTGGGAAATGGAACTGGAGGCTGAAATGTGTGAATAACATATGGAAATTGAGATCTACAGCACTCATTTTTTAAATCTTTACAGTCACTGTGAATCTGTGCTTTTCTTTCCTTCATATCAGCTTCATATTATGTTAATTAATCCTCAAAATAACCCCAGAGAGGAAAGTACAGTATTATTAACACAATGTTTAAGGGCTAAAATCAAGAGTGACAGGAGATAAGTGACCTGCCCAATTTCTTGAACAAACAGGAGGTGGATCTGGAATGCAGATGAACTTCTTACTTCCATCCTGCACTCTCGCCAGAATGCTGCACTGCTGCAAAGAGCAGCATAATCGTTTGTATACCAGACATTCAGGGACAGGCACAAACCAACTAACCAACCAATCAAAACCAAGCTAAACAACCAAGCAACTTGTCTAAAACATGGTAAGAGGTAAAGGACCTGTTCCATTTCTGGACCATACCTTGCTGCCAGCAGTTCTCCCAGAAACATTTCAACTTTATGAACTTCGTTTTTCTTCTCAGGAATGTGCTGTTTACTCTCTCCCAAGTTTTCTGTATTTAGCCTTTCTTCCATTTCATGGATCCATAAGTTCAGTTTTCTGTGCTGATCTTCAAAGCTAGGGAAAACAAAATGCCTTAGAGAAATTCTTACATGCTTGTTATAATAAATTGGTTTTAACAGATGAGGTCACAATCCCTTTTAAATGGCAGTTAAGAACTCATGAATTTTCAAGTTATAAAAACAAAACAAAATATAACTCAACAATTAACCCATCCAAATTATCACTTATTTTAGTAACAAAGTGACAGTCATGACAATTTCTTTTGAGATCCAAGCAGGAAAAGAATCATCTTATCTAGTTGAATTGATTTCATAGCTGGTAATTACCAAAAAGATCGCATTGCCATGTCAAGTGTGCACTTAGTTTTGTGTCTTACTACGAAGACCCCTGAATTGGGGCCAGTGGATATGAATTGATTTCATAGCTGGTAACTGCCAACAAGATAACATTCTCATGTCAATGTACACTTAATTTTGTGACCTACTACAAAGACCCTTGAGTGGGGGCCAGTGAATAAGTAGGGCAGTGGAAGCCTTGGGAAGAGAAGGGAAAGTGGCCTCTGTGTCTTTGTTTCTTAAGGGATTTTTAAACATAGGTCAAGAGCTCTAAGTTTTGGAAACAATGTAAGCTCTCCAAGAAAGCTGGACAAGAGTCAGGCAAATTATTCTGCCATCAGAAAGGCAATTTGATTATGCTGACATCTTTTCTCACCCTAGTCATAAGTGGCTTTTTCTCCCCTTCTAATTGTACATTCACCATAGTGACATATATTTCTAATTGGAATCTAGATCCACATAATTCGATAGCTGTTTTCTGCTATGACTCCATCCCAGATGAAGTGGACACAAGGAAAGGCCTTTGATAATCTAAAGATGGAAGTGTCAGAGCTTTACATATTGGGCTAACCAAATAAACAAAAATTATATGCATTTATATAATTTTCAATGACTAGTAAATGTAGTTTATTTGTTTTCTCTATATTAAAAAAAAGCCAAGTGATAACTTCAGAGTCTGAAAAATTGATTATTGTCCTAGTATCAACTTGAACTTATGATTAAAGCTTATTATAATTTAAACTCACAGTTTCAAATATTATTTGTTTATTCACATGACTCTTTTCTCTAAGCCTTTAAAAACACACTTGGTGTATGATGAAATCTGTATTTATTAAAATAACCTACCTGCCAAGTTCTGAAGCACAGTCTTGAAGAGCCTGTTTATCTTTGAGACATTGTTTCAGAAATGCTTGAAACTCTTCATTGGCCTTTGTGATTTGTTCCTGAATGCTACTGACAATTTGTTTAGACAAATGTGCATACAAAGTTTGTCCTTCTTGAGTCACTGCATCAAGTTTGCTCTGCCCATCACTGACTGAGTCCAATATGCTCTGTTTCAGGAAATAAAGTTATTACCTACCTCAGGCTGAGGTAACAGGTGCATGGAACTATTCATTACAATTGTGAGCTGAAATAGTAGAGCAGGGGAGGAAAAACAGAGTCCAAAGGAAAAAAGTTTAACAAGGCCAGAGTAAAAATGATGCATACAATTGGATCTAGCCAAGGCTCCTGATTGAGAATGGTGTCATCTAGTCACTGGAACCACTGAAGATGAGGTATGAACAAGGTGCAGCTGGAATCAAGGACATTCTCACCAAGATCTTGTTCTCAGTCTCTCCCCATTTTCACTGTCCCAATGTAGTCCAGGTTCCACCATCTCTCAGGGTTCATGTGAGACCCTCTAACTAGTTAGCTGCCTCCAGGCCCTCCCCTGATCCACCATGCATACAAAATCCTCAGGTCCTTTCTTTAACTGGTCTGCACCTCTTTCTTGGAAAACTTATGCTTGGGAAGGGCTTCAACAAAGCAAAAGAATTCCAGAATCCAGGGCTAGCCCTGCTTCTCCCAAGAGCTCTAGAGTGGCATCCTAACTGTTACTCAAACATTTCATTGAGGAGTTTGCTACATCCCAAGCTTGAAAGGAGATAATTCTAGATCTGAATTCTCCACACCTCCTGCAAAACCAGTTTCCTTTACTATAACAATCTTTCTACCATAACCTCTAATCTAATGGATTATCAACATCATTTTTATCCCCATTAGGCCACAAAATCCTCACAGTTCTCATTAGTTTTAAAAAATGGTTTCTTTTGGCTGGGCATGGTGGCTTATGTCTGTAACCAGCACTTTGGGGGGCTGAGGTGGTTGGATCATTTGAGGTCAGGAGTTCGAGGCCAGCCTGGCCTACATGGAGAAAACCTTGTCTCTACTAAAAATACAAAAATTAGCTGGGCATGGTGGCACACGCCTGTAATCCCAGCTCCTCGGGAGGCTGAGGCAGGAGAATCACTTGAACCCAGGAGGCGGAGGTTGCAGTAAGCTGAAATCGTGCCACTGCACTCTAGCCTGGGCGACAGAGTGAGACTTTGTCTCAAAAAAATAGAAATACTTTTTTTTACAATACTTAACATAGCGCTTTACTTGGATTAGCCGCTTGACAAGCTTGGCCAAAACCTAACTTGGGCCTATTCTTCTGTAAATCATTTCTTAACTCTTCTTCACCATGGTTTTCTCCTTCCTGAGTTCATATAGTTTCAGTCAGTAAAACCTATAGAAACTGTAATATCTGTTACTTTAGTTTGAATATATCCTATCTCTAAATATAGATCATAAGATACTAAAACACACAAACAGAAACCATGTCTTCTTCTTTTTAAAACTCCTCCAGGGTAGTCATAAAACATAGATACAATCATTATACTCTTATTGTTATAAAATTAAAACCAGGTTTGGTTTAGAATGAATTCTGAAGAATAGTCAATAGGCTAAAAAGAGAGAGGAAAGGGATCTGGAAATTCTCTAGCCCCAACTTATTTTTTCAACGTGCTTATCATGTTATCTACATCCTCTGACACAGTAACCCTAGTTCTGTTAGGGAAGAGGAAAAGATTGGCTCAAATAAAGTTAGGGAAATGAGATAAGTTAGGTCTGGCTTCAGGTACTTGAGTGCAGTTTGGGGAGGAGGAAAAAGAATGCCAGCTTCTATACCTGAAGATCTTGGAGCTTTGCTTCTAGAACCTTGCTGTCACCAGTGCGATCTGACGATTCTTTTGCTGCTGCCTTTGCTCCCAAAAACCATTCTTGGAATTCCTGCATAGACTCTTTTGAAAGAAAAAAAAATCAGGAGTAAATCCAAAACACTGAATGAGCTCCCAAGATTACCACAATGAATTATTTCTGGCCTTCAGCCTATCTCCTCTTACCTTACAAAATATTCCAGAAAGAAAATGATAATATATAAAGTAATACAGTATGATCTACAGCCATGAATGTTCATGGTAGAATTGAGAAGTTATCTCAGAGGAAAGACTAAAAAGAAACGTATATTCCTGGAACATCTGATTTCCCATTGTGTTTTTTCTTTTGGTAAAGAAAAATAATTAATTGCCTGAATATGTACAAGTGCAAGAAGAGAAATGCTCCAGGGACATTTAAATGAAGAAATACTCCATTTAAAGTCATTTTGATGGCACAGGGAGGAATGACCTCCTCTTTCTAAGTTGTAGGGGGAGCAGAGGCAGGGCCATAGGACTGGCAATTTCCTGGACCATATGGCTGCCCCTGTTTCATGGCTTCTACTAAGGTCCAAGTTGATTGTGTCCCTTCATCACAGTGTAAAAAATTTCAACAGTTGTTTGAACAGTGGCTGCTGGCCACTTGAAAAGTGGAAGTAATTTTCCACACACATGAGCTCAATGTAGAAAATGCAGATGAAATTCAGAAGCATCAAAATGGTGAACTCTTGCTTTCTCGATAAAAAGAGGAAAAAGAAAGAGGAAAAATTTTGCCTACTGTGAGAGTCCCTGAGCACAGTACTTCTCTCATTCAAATCTCAAAGCACAAATGAATTTGAAGTGATACTCTTCTGGAAAGTTTCCTCAAACTTTTGCTGGCAGTTTCTAGGCAGCATTTGGTTTGGATTCTTTCTCGGAAACAAACTACTCATGCTAGGGCCCCTCAGAACTCACCACTGAAGTGTTTTTCCAGAGAGTCCTGCAGGCTGGCCTGGGTTTTGGAGCACAGCTGGCTCACAGCTTCGTGTTTCTTTATCAGACCAGTCATTGCACGGCCCAGGTTCTCCAACTCAGCTGAGTGGTACTTGCGGCACAAGCTATTGAGATTTTCTTGGGTAGAGCTGATGTTGCTTTGTTGACTTTGAAGTTCTTTTTGTATATCCTACAGAACAAAAGTATATTATGAAGGATATTCATAACTTGAGAGAAATATTCCATTTACTCCACTATGGTACTTTTTACAATCTAAAATTGACATTGTTGAATCCACTCCATGGTGTATACATTTTGGTGCAAGTCTTTGAGTATTTGTACTAGATCTGTATTGATTCTTTCAGGCTTTTGCCCAGTTCTCCTTGGGAATGAACAGCTGTTGGGAAGTGGTTAGAAGGAGAGGCACAGTATAGCATTTCAAGCAAACTGAACAGGTCCTTAGTGATTCCGGTCCATTATTTTGTGTTTAGTCAATTGATTAGAGACAATCACAGTTCACATCCTTCAGTGAGTCACTTGAACTTTGTTTCAGAGTCACAGGCCCACCAAAGGCATCAGTAGTTAATTAAAAAACAAAGAACAAACAAACAAAAAAAAAGACCTTAATTTCAAGTACAGTAAGGAAATATGCTAAAAGAGAACAAATTGCATTTGTTGAAAAGCCAACTCAATGCATGTCCTTTACAGATAGTTGATTAGGAATATTTTCTATTAATAGGGATAGAAAACATGAAAATGGGCCAGGTGTGGTGGCTCACACCTATAATCCCAACACTTTGGGAGGCTGAGGCCAGTGGATCACTTGAGGTCAGGAGTTTGAGACCAGCGTAGTCAACATGGTGAAATCTCATCTCTACTAAAAATACAAAACTTAGCTGGGTGTGACGGTGGGCACCTGTAGCGCCAGCTACTGGGGAGGCTTTGCTAAGAGAATCACTTGAACCTGGGAGGGGAGGTTGCAGTGAGTCCAGATTGTGCCACTGCACTCTAGCCTGGGTGACAGAGCAAGACTCTGTCTCAAAAAATTAAAAAAATAGAAAACATGGAAATGGAATGTTTTCTCAACTCCTTCTTTTCAAAAAATATACATTCTCTGGATGAAAGCAGTCATAGTGACCAATAAATACAAATAAGTGATAAAAAACTATAGAATACTCAAGTTTGAAAATTTGTGGAAGTCAAATAATTCTTCCACAGGCGTCACCCTTTTACCAAAAAGAAAAAAACATTTTGAATAAGCATAGACTGAGCAAGCGCTACAGCAACACATGCTTTCTATTTTCAAGGTATTCATTTTTGATTTCTGAACACCTGCATTCAGTTCTTTTCTTACTTTGCTGTGTTCAATATCATAAATAAGTTGGTCTGGTGTTTATATGCGTAACTGAGAGCAGAGATTATATTTTTTATTATAGTCACCTCAAAACAGGAGAACTACTATCACCATTTGAATGGAAGCACTTACTGATAGTTTATTACCTACCTTGACTTTTTTCAGTCCTTCACAAGTCTCAGTTTGGGCACAGTTCATCAACGATTCTTCCACTTTTGTGAGCCATGTTGTTACATCATTAATAAATTTCTCCACTTGTGTACTTTGAGCAGTGAAATCCTTCAAGGTTCCTTTTGCTACTTCAGTTATTTCTTTGGCATGCTCCAGTTTCTGCCTTAAGTCTGCTTCTATAAACTAAATATAAAGCAAGATTTCATTAAAATCTAAGAAGACCAGAAGCATACTCATTTGGTAGAAATTCTGTTCATGTGTGGCTTAATTGTCAAAACCACACAAGTTTCATCATGGAAGCCAGCTCCAATGTTAATATGCCTTTCCAAGAAGGAAAATCAAAGGACACAGTTGCCAAAATATAAAGTGATGGGCAAATAGAAAGAGTAAGGATTATGTTAACAATGGAGGTGAGAGTGGCAGCTGTAACTGAGGTTCCGGGGAATATGTGAGATGGCATTCTCAAAGCAGAGCTAGACCTACCCAGAACTCCCCGGAGGTAACCAGAAACCTGCTCTTGATTCTCCCTGGAAACACTCATTTTCTTCTCAGATATAACACTATCTGGGACAAACATCACTATAGGATTTTATCATAAAGGAATTTTACTTTTGTCTTCGCTGTCCCTTTAAAATATTCAGTAGAGCTAATTCTCTTCTCCCCGGATGATATAGCTCAGGAGGGCTGACCTCTATGGCCCACTAGTTAGTAAAAGGACGTATAGTCATTATACATTGAAAAACAGTTTCAATTCCACAATTCAAACATCCTGGCCTATTTGGTAATATAAACTTTGAACTTACATTGAAGGCTTTTATTCTTACCCCCATCTCAGATCTGCTGGGAGCAGGAGTCCCACGGTGTGAAAGAGAGCAAATGTCTTTCTTTTTCTTCCTTTGTTTTATTTCTATTCTGCAACCATGTGTAAGGCTTCTTTCTCCTGTAGACTTGGACTGGCAGGAGGCAGGTGAGGGATTCTGACTCACTGGATGGGCATCTGTGCCCTCTAGGCTAGGTAAGGTTTCACATTCATTCCTTCTCCCATAGGACTTGGTCTGTGGGGTTTTCTGACTTTTCTCATGCTTGGGGCTTCCCACTGAGGTTTCCTAGATGTGATAGTGCACTGTCCTTTGGCTCTTTACTTTCTCATTTCTCAGCCTGTAGGCCTTTCTTTAACTTCTCATTGCTAAGGTCTGTTCATCCTCCAGATAGCCTTCTTAGACTACCTATAACATCCTCTCGTGGTGACCTCTTCCTTTCCTTTCCTCTCATGGTTCATGTTTGGGCCAAGTCACAATCTGGCATTCATCTCCAAATAACTCAGAGGTGCAGGTCCCCCACAAGCCATCATTTATCCTTTGGCAAATGTACCAGCAGTTAACCAGCCTGGATGTCACCTGAGGATTCTTGAGGGGTTAGAGATCAGACTCCCATGCCTTCCAAATGCAGGGGACAAATGTCCTGTTCTCCAGGTGGCACTGCTGGAACCCTTCTGCCTTGAGGTAAGGTAAGCCACTCCCTCACCTCTTCCTTGAGTAATCATAGGGGTGTGTGTGTGTGTGCATGTGTGCACATGTGTGTGAGAGAGAGAGAGAGAAGGAGAGAGAGAAAAAGGAAGAGAAGGCTAGAGTACACCAATAACTCTCTGAAGATCCTGCCTCAACTCTGCAAAAGTCCATCTGTTACCCATTGATATCCCCAACACAGGTGGCATGCATAAGGACTCTTTTTTCTTTTTGTATATGAATAGCACCTCCTTTGTGTCTTCTTATTTCACGTGAAACTTCTAGCATTCCTGTGCATGTATATCATCCCTGATGATACTGATGAACAAGCAGTCTCAGGTCAGAGCAAAAGCTTAACTGATCAACTGGATTGATTGCTTGGCCCAAAGGAGTAAATCAAAGACAAAGACACATGAAGAAGAAAGAAAATGTAGAGAAAATTGACAAAAGTAGCAACAAATACAGAAGCTAAAGAGATGCAGTTGCATCCTGAGCCTGGAGCCAGTGGGGCTGGCAGCCAAAAGAGACCCACCATGCTGGATGCTTCCAGGGCTTGGGCACTGAGGTAGCGCAGGTTTTTTGACCAGTGATGATCTACCCTGGACTGCTTCATGGTTCCCATGGAATTGTGCCATCTGAAGGGCCATGAAGGGAGGTTTACAGTGGTGATTCCTCTAAACTCAGTTCTTGAGTAACGGCATTAGGAAAATATCAACAAGAACATCAACATTCCTAAGAGGGGTTTCTAGGCCAATTGCGGGGGCTCACACCTGTAATACCAGCACTTTGGGAGGTCGAGGTAGGCAGATTGCATGAGCTCAGCAATTCAACACCAGCCTTGGCAACATGGTGAAACTGCCTGCCTACAAAAAATACAAAAAATTAGCCTAGCATGCTGGTGTACACCTAGAGACCCAGCTCCCAGGGAAGCTGAGTTGGGAGGATTGCTTGAGCTTGGAAGGCAGAGGTTGCAGTGAGCCGAGACTGCACCACTGCACTCTGAGATTGTGACAGAGTGAGACCCTGTCTAAATAAATAAACAACCAACAACAAAAACAACAAAAAAAGTAGGGGGTTCTGTTCCTGTCTAGACATGAAATGGTGCATGAGGCAACTTGGCTAATAATGTTTCTGAATTTCAGCAGGGAAAAAAAAAATTACCCTTATTATAATATTCAAGGTGGAAATATGCTATTAATACTGGCCCAAGGAATACTAAAAGATATTAATATTTTGACCACCATGTCTGCCAAAATCCACATGTTTGCTTGGAATTATGGTAATGATAACAATGAGGACATATAAAGGATATATATATATATATGTATATACATATATATATATAGAGAGAGAAATATATATATTTATAAATCTATAGATTTAAAAATTTATTTATACATATTTATAACTATAAATCTATATAAATATATATTTATAATTCTATAAATAAATAATATATATTTCTCTCTCTCTCTCTCTCTATAGATATATCCTTTATATGTCCTCATTGTTATTATTACCATAATTCCAAGCAAATATGTGGATCTATATCTCCATATAAAGAGAGAAATATATATATTAATATATTTATAAATAAAAGATATATTTATAAATATATAAATAAATATTTATCTATATATAGATTATAAATTTATAAATCTATAGATATATTTATATATTTATAAATTTATAAATATATATTTATAAACATAAATATAAATATATTATATGTATAAATATATAAATATATATTTATTTATATACATATATATTGAGAGAGAGAGATTGAGAGAGAAGGAGAGACAGAGACAGAGACAGAGAGAGAGGAAGTCTAGTTATGGTAGTTATTACAAATGCTTACCCGAAGGTCTGGCGGTGTTTCTGGATTTTTAGTTAATTTTTTAAGATCATTAACTTTGGAATGCAGTTCTTCCAATCTCAATGCTTTGTTTTTAACTTCAGACTGCCAAAAGGGAAGAAGCATAGCTAATCAAAAACACTGACATGCTATATTTGGCATTTAATAATTTCAAGAGCTAACTTTGTCAAAATACTCTAACCAGTGTAAAAATTTCAAGAGCTAACTTTGTCAAAATACCCAGCCAGTGTAAAAAAGAAATCTGTTTCATTTTTCCGAGGGCTGTCATGATGTACAAATGTGGAAAAATGTTACCATTAACGTTCACTTGGAATGTGAAGGAGTATGTAGAATTTTGTTTCTCTCCACTCCTTTTTATTAGGAAGAAAAGCTCCTGGAAAAAAATTAAACGCTGACCCAAAGTCTCGAGTCAGTAGGGATTTTCAGTGGGCTAACTGCTATTTATTCATTAACTTTAATATTACTGGTTACTATGGCAGCATGAAACACTTGAAGACACATTTCAAAGCAAACACACATCAGGAGAGACTAATTACTGTAGACTATGTGTAATATGAAAGAAACGTTCCAAATAAAAATTTAGGCTGGTTCGGTGGCTCATGCCTGTTAATCCCAGCACTTTGGGAGGCCAAGGTCGGTGGATCATCCGAGGTCAGGAATTTGAGACTAGCCTGGCCAACATGGTGAAACACCATCTCTACTGAAAATACAAAAATTAACTGGGCGTGGTGGTGGGTGCCTATAATCCCAGCTACTCGGGAGGTGGAGGCAGGAGAATTGCTTGAACTCAGGGTGGTGGAGGTTGCAGTGAGCCAAGATCGCACCATTGCACTCCAGCCAGGGCAACAAGAGAGCAACTCCATCTCAAAAAATAAAATTAAATTAAAATTAAAAAATAAAAATTTAAAGGATATTAAATCAGAAACAGGTTAATTAAGAAATTGACATATAATATTTTGCCTTTTTTCCACCAACAGTAACATAAAGAAGAGGAAAGAACAATCAAAGAATTATCATTAAAGAAATGAGATACTTGTAAACTTCATTAGTTATTTGGGGCTACAAAGGAGCATTTACTAAACTATTCCTCTCAAAAATGGTTTTTTTGTGCTTTGAGGACACTAGCAAACCTCCTGATGCCTTCAATTCAGCAAGGAATTTCCTTACTGGAAGACGCGATGAGCTGACAGGCCCTCTGGCTTTCTCCAGAAGCTGGCCAGGCAACTGAGGAATCAATCTCCCTACTTGTCTACACTCACTACATTGCAACAGGAATGGCTCTTTGGGCACTGGACTGAATCTGATTCACTGATTTTATAGCTAATATGTCACAGAGACAGTGGGTAACAGATACAACCCATCTTTGTGAGTAACTGAACCTGGTCATATCGAATGTGGGTCGGAAGCATATTGAATCGTTGGATTTCTGAGGTCAATAGTAGTCGGTTAGTTTAACAACTCCCTCTCACCCATCCTCCCACATAAAAAAGGCCCTGATTTGTAGTATTTGCCACCATGGGAAGCTACCACATGATGTCACAGCACACGGAGTTGAAGACATACACAGCAGTACATTGCTTTCAAATATTTCAACCGTGATATAATAGATGTCAATAACTCAAAGGCCTAGGTAAATACGCCTTCAGTTGTCATTACCTTTGTATTTAATGGAACTTATTTAGTTTTACATTTATTTACAATTTAATTTTTAATAATGGTTGTTTTTAACACTGGCTTGCAAAAATTCCTGAACATTTAACGATTGACTTTTGCAAGTTGGTGTAAGCTGGATCCAGCACAGGCCACTCTGGAGCTGTAATGTTAGTTCAGCATCAGAGATAACAGCTGAAGACACTGAGGTGTGCATCACCCCTGCCCATGCTTTTGGTCTGGGTAATTTCTTCTCCTTCTGATTGCCCTCAGAGATTGGAATTAAATAATAAAATATTTAGACTGTTATTTAAATCAAAGACAAGGTAGGTAATACAATTCATTTTCATTCATGTATATTTTTCTGGACTAAAGTCACTATCTCGTCACTCTATTTCTCTTTATCCTGCTCCACTTTTATCATAGCCCAATTACTACTTGATATTTTATATATAATATATATTGTAATATAAATAATGTAAATTCCACAAGGGTACTTTCTGTTTTCCTATTGTATTTTCATGTCTAAAACAGTGCCTGACATAACTTAGGTGCTTATTAAGAATTTGAAGAATGATTAACAAATGATTGCCAGAAATAGGAATAAAAAGAGTTTAAAGTCAATTGGTGACTAGAACTTTAAAAGGTCAGAGACTCTTTTAAAGTGGAAGCTCGTAACCCTCCAATCTTCAGGTTTCTTCCATTTTTGAAATGGAAGTGGAAGAACCCACTATCTGGCATAATAAGAGCACACGCTAAGTAAGCAGTTTGGGATTTTTTTAAATAAGGAAAAATGAGTATTAAATATTACTAAATTACAAACACTTCCAATTCGCTTTTTAGGTAGAAAGATGTCATATTCTCTGAAGAACTGGAACAATTATAGATTTTATAGACTTTTACTTTTCTACTAATGCTTTAAAGAGATCTAAATAAGCATAGATTAAAATGCAAAAAAATCCTCTTATTCATAACCTGTTCAAATTAAATAGCAAAAAATAGTTAAGAGTTTTCTAATGCTCTTCTATGTCTCTAAAAAGGAGAATAAGGCCCAGAGCAGTGGCTCACACCTGTAATCCCAGCCCTTTGGGAGGCTGAGGCAGGCAGATCACCTAGTCAGGAGTTCAAGACCAGCCTGAGCAACATGGTGAAATCCCATTTCTAATAAAAATACAAAAATTAGCCAGGCGTGGTGGCACAGGCCTGTAATCTCAGCTACTCAGGAGACTGAGGAACAAGAATCGCTTAAACCCAGGAGGTGGACGTTGCAGTGAGCCGAGATGGCACCACTGCACTCCAGTCTGGGCAACAAAGCAAAACTTTGCCTCAAAAAAATATACAAAATAAAATAAAAAATAAAAGTAAAAAAAAGAACTTTTTTTTTTCATATTCTGGTCAACAATATGCAACCAGCTCCCATATGTCAACACAGGCAATTTACCTCAAATTCTTTAAGCAGTTCTTCGGCTCTGAGGTGGTTACTCAGGTTGCTGATGTTTTCTGCCATCTGTGGAACAGAGTTGTTTGACCATCCCTCGATCTCATCTTTACTTAAGAGTACATCATCCCAAATGGACAGGCTTACTCTCAGCCTGTCCATGTTTTCTTCAAGTTTCTCTGCTACCTAGGAGAGAAACAGGAGCCATGGAATTCATATTCAGAGGCATAAGGTGATCATCCCCCCACCAAAGTACTAAAAATACCAATGCTTTTATCAGAAAAGTATATTCTGACTGACAAACAGAGTTTCACAAAAATTATTATAACCTAACAAGTGTACCTGACTCATGTAAAAGCTAACCAATACATAGATTTCTTCTGCCATTGGAAGAGTTGTTCAAATTTTGAGATGCTACCTTTTCATTTGTAAATTGGGATATGAACAACATCAGGTCCTTTGGTATCTACTATAACTCACTGTGAGGTTGACTTCTGCAGGACAAAGGTCATCAAGAACAGTGTTGTTTGTTTTTTTTCTTACTGTATCTGGCATTTCTCCCAGATATAGTAAGAAAAACAAATACAACACTGTTCTTTTGTTTTTTTTAATTTATTTATTTTACTTGTTGGGGAGGGACAACATGTGGAGAAATGCCAGATATAGTATGCACCTAAAGTAAAAAACTAAATAAATAAAAGAACAGTGTTGTATTTGCTTTTTCAAGTAATAAGTATTTTTATTTGTAATGTTGAGGTATAATTAGCATTAATTATATTCAAACATATTTATAATGTAATACATATGAAAGCAACCAATTTTGCACATTAAAAGTAAAATATTATCCCTTATCACTCTTCCCATAAGGCTACGCACTAAAATCCCAAAAGCTATAAATGAAAAAAATATAGCATGCTAAAAAAAAGAATGTTCTTTTAAAAGTGGAAGCATACAGGGTTTTCTGCAGTCCCCAACTTATTTGATTATATTACACAAATATCAAAATCTAACTAGTAAATTTAGCTTAAGTAGGGAACCACTGTACTTCTGAAGCTAGATTTTGATAGAGGGCAACAGAATCACTGAATTTTTTAGCTGGAAGATAATGTAAAATATTTATGTATTGATACATAGCATTCCAGAAAAATCAAGTGACTTGTTCCGTGGTCACATAGCTAGTAAGTGACAGAACAAGAACTCAAACCCAAACATGTAAAGTACAAGTGCAATGGTTTCCAATGCAAAATTATAGCCTTATTATTTTAAATTATATATTATGGTTTAATATTTTATAGAATATATATGCATTCTTCTTTTATATCTATAATTTCATAGTTTGGGAAAGAAAAGCATTCAGTTATAATTTGTTATGACTGAGGCTATCAAGTGAAATTTCCAAAAGCCTGAGAATAAGTTTTAACAAAGCAGATTAATTTTTTACTATTTCTAAACTTTACGTGAGCACTGTTTTTCTTCAGAATATAATTTTGCATTTAGCATTAAATGTTAAAAGTGAAATTCGGCCTGGTGCTGTGGCTCACGCCTGTAATCCCAGCACTTTGGGAGGCCAAGACAGGTGGATCACCTGAGGTCGGGAGTTCGATACCAGCCTGACCAACATGGAGAAACCTTGTCTCTTCTAAAAATACAAAATTAGCTGGGCACGGTGGCACATGCCTATAATCCCAGTTACTTGAGGCCTGAGGCAGGAGAATCTCTTGAACAAGGGAGGCAGAGGTTGCAGTGAGCCGAGATCACGCCATTGCACTCCAGCCTGGGCAACGAGCAAAATTCCATCTCAGAACAACAACAAAAAAGAGATTCACATCCTTGAATAACTCTTTGTCCAAAAACGTGATTGGGAAATGTGAATACTTAAACGGTTCACAGAATCTTACATCCAGCCATTTGTCCACGGTGCTCTCCATGTCTGCTTTCACCAAGCTGAAATCACTACTGTGAATTTTTTTCAGCTCAGACAACAAGTGTTTTCCTTTGCTGGTAAAGTTATCCAAGTCTTTCTGTTTATAATTCATTTTGTTCCTGGCAGTTTCATGCTGTGGATAAATGGTTTCTTAATTAATATAATAGTCAGTGATAAGTCATGGATTTAAAACCATTTGCCTCTAAGAAATTTAATTCATAATGACCTTATGCAGAAATTAGTGACATTAATTAACTATATGAATATACATAAAACCATTTTCTTGAATTGCTAGAGTCCTAGAATGTCAGTATTCCTAGGGGAAAAAATGTTGAACTCGTTAGCGTGAATTATCCACATCTAAGTATACTGAGAAGAATTGTGCAGAGAACTGTTTCATGAGTAAAAACCAGATCTACTAAAGCAGAATACCAATATATTTATGTGTGCATAGAATTGTGCAGAGAACTGCTTTATGAGTAAAAACCAAATTTACTAAAGCAGAATACCAGCATAAATACACTTTAAATTTTACCTTGGAAAAGGCCCATTTAAGATCCTCCTGATCTTTTATGGTAGTTCTGGTTACAATCACACTGCTGGCATTTTCCAGGACTTTAGATACAGCTGACTTTAGGTTCTGATATTCTCTCATTAAGTCAATTAGTCCACAGCATTGACCCTGACTGTAATGATTAAAGAAAATATATTATTTTGTGTCATGTATCCAGTTCCCTACAATTGGACTTGATGTTTCACTATATAAAGGTATTAATATTGATAGATGGATGCTGGAACCAAGAGAAAAGCATATTTCTACACACTGACCTCAGACTAATGCTGCTGAAAAGCAAATTTCTACATACTGACCTCAAACTAGTGCTGCTGGTTAATCCTACTTACTCTAATGTCCAAAATATTCTCTGTGAATGAGGCATGCACACAACCATTGAAACCAAATCTATGAACTCAATGACAAAAAAGCAATATATGTTCTTGCCAACTCAAACTTACTAGATGAGTCACCCAAATATATTTTTAATGTCTTTTTCCATGTTGTTTTAATTATTTCATAATGACATATGTTTCAGGAAAGAAAACAACAATAAAGCATAAACCAAAACTAACAAATATAATTATTAGTAATGAAAACATATGTCAGATTTTCTCTTCCATCTCAATGTAATAAATTCTCATTGGATATGACTCCCCTGAAAACTGTCAAAATGAGAAGATAGTTGTTGTTTATAAAAATAAGGTGGTCTACAACCATATCACTCTGAATATACCTGATCTCATTTGATCCTGTGAAGGTAACCAGGGTCCAGCTTGGTTAGTACCTGGATGGGAGACCCTCTGGGAATACTGGAAGCTGTAGGTTTTTTTTTTTTTTTCTTTTTAAGAAACTAACACACCAACAAAAAATGGCCAGGCGCCATGCCTCATGCCTGTAATCCCAGCGCTTTGGAAGGCCAAGGCAGGCTGATCGCTCGAGGCCAGGACTTCAAGCGATCAGCCTGCCTTGGCCTTCCAAAGCGCTGGGATTACAGGCATGAGGCGTGTGGATCACGAAGTCAGGGGTTCAAGATCAGCCTGGCCAACATGGTGAAACCCCGTCTCTACTGAAAATACAAAAATTAGCCGGCTGTGGTGGTGCATGCCTATAATCTCAGCTACTCAGGAGGCTGAGCCAGGAGAATGGCTTGAACCCAGGAGGTGGAGTTTGCAGTGAGCTGAGATAAAAAATCAGCTGGGCTTGGTGGTGCTTGCCTGTAATCCCAGCTACTTAGGAGGCTGAGGCATGAGAATGGCTGGAACTTGGATGGCAGAAGTTGCAGTGAGCCAGGATCACACCACTGCACTCCAGCCTGGGCAATAGAGAGAGACTGTCTCAATAAAGAAACAACAACAAAATAATAAAATGCCTTTGAGCAAGCAAATTTACATCTAGAGATTTTTCTAAAGAAATCAAATTATGCGCACTTAGATTTAGGTAAAATGATATTCTTTACACCATTATTTGTAGAAGGAGAAAAAATAGAAATACCCAAAATGTTAAAAACAGGTCAATAAATATATACTGATACATTCTTATGATAGAACCATACAACCTCTAAGAAATCACAACTTAAGATAATGTTTAATAATATGGAATAAAGTTTGTACAATATGATTCAATATAAAATGCCTACATTAATAGTCTACATTGTATAATGTGTTCTGAATTTTGTTTAAAAGGCATTTGTACATGATGTAAAGTATGTGTTAAGGTTCATTTTTCTAAATGCATATGAATGTCCGATTGTTCTAGTACCATTTATTGAAAAGCTTATTCTTTCTCCACCAAACTTTCTTTACATCTTTGTCAAAACAATTGACTATTTCTAGACTCTGTTCCACTAGTTTATATGTTTATCCTTTAGCCTATGCCATACTGAAAGTAGCCAGTATAAGTTCTCCAATTCTTTTTTGTTATTTATCTATTTACCTATTTACTCATTTATTTTAGGTAACAGAGTTACCAGCAAAGTCCTCCAATTCTTTTTCAAAATTGTACTGGCTATTCTAGTAGGTCTTGTGTTTTTGCACATACATTTTGAAATCATCTTATCAATTTTTGCAAAAATTCTGTGGGCATTTTGATTGGGATCTTATTGATATTAAAAAATACCTCAATAATAAAAAACCCCAAGTTAGCCAATTTGAATATTTAAAAAGATATACAGATTGCAAATAACATATCAAAATATGTTCAATATCAGTCATCAAGGATATACAAATTAAAAACTAAATGTGCCAATTCTTGGCACAATGCTTATGAGTTAGTCCCGCTCCACAAGGAGCAGTTAAACACACACACACACACACACACACACACACACACAGAGAGAGACACACACACACAGAGATAGAGATAGAGAGAGAGAGATGGCTCTACACATCTAGTAGAATGTCAAACAAGCAAATAAACAAAAACGTCACAATACTAAGTGGTGGAAATTATGTGGAGCAGCTGGAACTCTTACATGACTGGTGTGAGTGCAAAATGGTGCAACCACTTGAAAAATGGTTTGGCAGGTTCTTATAAAGTTAAACATATATGTTGCTATACAACCCAGAGTCTCACTTTTCGTACACAAATGAAATCAAAACTTACGTACATGCAAAAACTTGAATGTGAATGTTTATAGATACTTTATTTATAATCATCCAAACTGGAAAGAACCCAATTGTCCATCAACTAGTAAATGAATAAACTGTAGTACACCCATGCAGTGGAATATTCAGCTGTAAAAAATGAACTACTGACACACACAACAACATATGCTGTGCTAAATAAAAGAAGCCAAGTCACATTCTATGTGATTTTGTTTATATATGATTCTAAGAAAAAACAAAACTATAGATGTGGAAAACTGATCTCTCATTGCCAGGGTGCTAATGGCAAGGGGAAGGGATAAGGACATTTTTTTAAGTGGTAGAGCTTTGGTTGTGAACTTTAACAGTTACACAACTGTACCTCAATTACAAACAAGTACAACAAAATTAGAAAATTAAAAGTTAAGGCTATCATGGTAACACTTCATAACTGTTGACAACTCCTGCTTTAAGCATTTAATTTCACATGCAATTGGGTTTGTTTGTTTGTTTTTGTTTTTGTTTTTGAGACACAGTCTTGCTCTATTATCCAGACTGGAGTGCAGTGGTGCGATCTCGGCTCACTGCAACATTCACCTCCCCAGTTCAAGCGATTCTTCTGCCTCAGCCTCCCAAGTAACTGGGATTACAGGCACTCTCCATCACACCTGGCTAATTTTTGTATTTTTGGTAGAGATGGGATTTCACCATGTTGGACAGGGTGGTCTTGAACTCCTGACCTCAGGTGATCCTCCCACTTTGGCCTCCCAAAGTGATGGGATTACAGGCATCAGCCACTGTACCCAGCCTGTAATTGTTATCTTAAAGCAACATTCTCAATAAAGTTCTGTAAAAACTAAGTAAATGTTTAATGTTATGACAGTGACACAGAATACCTAAAATGGTAAAATATATTTAACTACTGATCACATCAACACAAAACAGGCAATGTCCTAATCACAAAATAAGTCGGAAGCTAAAGACAAGAGCTGGGCTGGCTTTGACTTACTTTTCATGAATTAGTCTTTTAGTATCATCCCAGGTGACCTCTAAGCGGTTTATCTCCCTGTCAACTTCAGGTGCAAAAGCTACATCTTTCTGGGCAATTTGCTTGGCTTTGTCTTTCAACCAACATAGTTCATGCTCATGAGAATTCAATTCATCTTCTAGTTGATTAAACACTCTTAACCTGTGAATTAAAATGTTATTTTCCTATTAATTTACTAATAGCAGTAAATCAATATTTCCTCTCCCAAAGTATATGATGAGTCCATAAAGCGCTCGTTTGGTCAACTAGAAAAACTTTTAACACAGAAACTAAATTAATGTTTGTCAATGGATAAAGTTACTTTTAAAGTTAATTTTGCAAAATAACTCAGACTGTACCTCAGAAAACACTGAAAATCATTCTTACTACTCACCATCAACCTTCTATTAAGTTTGTATTTTCTTTCTACTTTGATGGTATAAGATTTTCAAAACTAAAGCTGACCTCGTAGGCCACATAGGTAAATACTTATTGTAAAATCATTGGTAAGAAGTGTTTCTGGTCCATGAGGTTCAATCCATGTAAATAATAATGCTTAAGGATGATAATTGTTTCATTCAGTATCAAATTAGATTTACTGAGCTCTGCATACATATATATATACCTAAATTACTTACCTTGTTGAGAAGATTACCATAAAGAAATGATCATTTTTTGTCCCTAATCTATTAATATCTGAGCATTTATAAAAAGTGGACATATTGCCAGCCATAGTGGCTCATACCCATAATCTCAGCATTTGGGGAGGCCAAAGTGGGAGAATTGCTTGAGACCAGGAATTCAAGACCAACCTGGGCAACACAGCAAGACCCCTATTTCTACAAAATTAAAAAAAAAAATTAGCTGGGTGCAGTGGTGCATGTGTATAGTTCCAGCTGTGTGAGAGGCTGAGGCTGGAGGATCGCTTGAACTCAAAAGTTTGAGGCCACAGTGAGCCATGATGGCACCATTGCACTCTAGGCTGGGTGACAGAACAAGACCTTGTCTCAGAGAAAAAAAAAGTGGCCACATAGAGGCAGCCATTGACTCTTCATTCTTACAGTTTGATATAGCACTGTAGAGTTCACACGGTGAGTATACATGCTTTATCCCATTTAATTCCCAAAAGGTGGTGGCTGGGGGCAGGTGTTCTTATTATCCCCACCTTACAAGAAGAGAAGAGGTTTCTCAAGGTGGCATAGTGAAGCATTAGTGTGGCTGGAATTTAAATAAGTCCACTAATTCAATATAACATTTTCTGCATCTGAAGTGTGATTCTGGTGAGTGCGGTGTTGTGGCTACTGATGTGGCTCTTTAGCCCAACCTGGGCTTTCTGCTCTAGCAATTTTAGGGTCTCCTGTCTGCTTGACCCAAGAACACCATGCCACCCTGCAGCAACAATGCTACCGCTGGCTTCCACAGTGAGCAACATTAGGCACTTTGTTCTCTCTTTATTCTGGAGGCAATTTTTCCTTCCCAAGTATCATTCTCTTTTGTAAATTGATTGTTAAACTGGTCAGATAATTTATTTCCTATAAAAAGTATAATCTCAGGAGCCCAGTCCTAATATATACTCCACTATCATCTAACAAAATATTTGATTCTGGTTAAAAGGAAACAACCACAGTGGTCTAGTCAGGATCAGCATGATCTTTACCAATTATGAAGACCTTGGCATGAATGCATTTCAGCTGTTTCTTTGCCCACTGGGAAAAAAATGGAAGAGAAAGTGGCCCTGAAAACAGGAGTCAGAAGGTTCTATTAAGAAGAAAAAAAGATTGACAAGAAGGCTGCAGTTTAAGAAAACAATTCCTTTTCAAATTTACTAAGGAAACTCATCTTTGACCAGTAGCTTCTCAAATGAACACACCTGACAAAAACTCAACCTTGCTTACTTAAACCCACTCCTCTGCCTCTTCATACCTCTAAGCAAACAGTTAAAAGTAGACTCTGCCAAGCTGATTGGTTTCACTTCAAATGAACACAGAACTCAGCAGCTCATCACTTTCCTAAGCTCCTCTCTCCAAGAGAAGTTTCACACCATTTTCTCTCCTCTAACATCTACCATACCTCTGAATTAACAAGCTTACGCCAGTCTTTACCAAGAGGCTATCAGTCACCAGCAAGGAATTCCCTTCTACATTTTTACCACCAAAACTACTAGGATCACTCCCTTCCTCTCTTCTGCCTTCATATTTTTAATAGAAGATGAGTCCCTTCTCCCATTGGTAAAAAATTGTTTAAAAATAGATAATAGGATCTACATATTCTTTGCCCATAAACAGACTTTAGGGAAATCCTTAAGGAATCCAAAGAAATTTTAGTACTTCTCAAATGTCAAATTAGTCATTAACCTTATCTTCAAACTGGTAAAAAAAATTAAAAAGTTGCTAAATATGGTACTGCAAACAAAAAAGTATCTGAGACAGTTCTCAATCAATTTAGAAGTTGATTTTGCCAAGGATAAGGACATGCCTGGGAGAAGCAAACAGGAAATCACAGAATCAGTCTGTGTTCTATACCTTTCTCCAAAGATGATTTTGAGGGCTTCAACATTTAAAGGGGAAAGTGGGCTGGAGGGGAAAGAGAGAGCATAAGGTTAATTCATGTGTTGCAAGAGAAATGAAGCAGGCAGTGAATAGTCAATTATGAATTCATCTCGTGCTCATTAAATCAGCACTTTACCTAAGATAAGGTGGACATGTAGAGTAGCTACCTACGGAGATATTTAACTTTTTCTCTGTACCTCTCTGCTTAGGAACAAAAGGAAAGGCAGCTTTTTGCATGACTCAGCTCTCAGCTATATTTCCTTCTTTTGGCAGAGTGAATTGGGATCCTGAGTTTTTATTTTCCTTTCACGGTACTCATACAATTTTGTGTAAAAGTTAATTCCAGAACAAATACAAAATAAAAGAGACAGGTGGCTGTGACAGTTTCCTTTACCTCTGCTGAAGAGCTTGGCGAGTAGGTTCCTTCAATCGTTCTTTGTCAGTCCTTTCTTCAATGCTCTCAATGCTTTTCAGCAGCTCCTCTTTCTGGTCTTGGAATGCTTTTTTCAACACTGCAAGGGCATCTGCCTCACTCTGCTTGGTTCCCAGAAGGTTCTGGATCCTCTCTAACTCTCCAAAGAGCTGATCAACCGTGGCTCTGCAGGAAGTCCTCTGCTCAGAGCTCCCACTTTTCAGATGGTATTGGGCTTTGGAAAGAATACCATCAAGACTGACGGCAGTAGATTCTAATGCTTTAGCATCTTGAATAGCATCATTGAGGTTCTTTTCTATCAGATCAGACTGGTTCTTATTCATACTGTTGGTTGCTTCCACCATTTGCCTCAGCTGGTGGAGAACACTGGACAGAGAGGCATGGCTCTGGAGGAATTCTGCCAAATGGGACAGGGCAAGCTGCCGCCTCTCCACAACCTGGCTGGCCTCCTCAAACAGTTGGAAGCAGTCCTCAGCCTTGCCCTGCAGGAGATGGAGGTCCTCAGCTCGGCCCAGAGAACCCAGCTTTGCTAAGTGACCCTGCAGACTCTGCAATTCGCCCTTTTTGCTCTCTACGTCTGCTGTGTGGTCCTGGAAAGGAAGAGAGAATTACTGATTCCTCAGATACACTACAGTCTATGACAGGGATATTCTACAGGATTTGTGATATGAAGATCTATTTTAAGTGCCATGGATAGTGTAGTACTTTAAGGTCATCTACAGTGAATCAGAAAATTCACAAAATTTTCTGTTTTGCTGATCCACATGTTTCACATAAAACACAACTCTATTTTGGAACTATGTAATTAATTCTCTGAAAAAAAAATTCTTTGTGGATAGAAATTGTTAGTTAAAAGAAATAAAAACATTGGAAGATTCTTAAAGATGCCAATATATATTTTACATTTTAATTTTAACATTTTAAAGATGCATATATGTATATACAAATATTTGTATTTAGATATCTTATATTTTCTGTATTTTAACTTTTAAATTTTAAAAGATGCATGTATTTAAAAACTCTAGATTTAAACATTTAGAAGGCGTATATGTGTATACATACAAGTCTTTCAAAATCTAAAGGTTTCTTTTTTTAACTAACAATTTCTATCCACAAAATCCATGAAGAAATCTTTTTCAATTAAATTAGTTCCAAATCAGAGTTATATTTTATGCAAGACTGCTGTATAGGAAATTTGGCTAGCTTACAATAAATCGTGCTTAAAATCTAGCAGAAAATTGGCAACATTCTCATTATGGTTCCCATTAAAAAGAAATTATCACCAATCTTAATCTTGACAACAATGACTTTAAGGCTCCCCTCAGTTTGACTACAAGATAGCTTCCTCTTGACTGCAGATCCCGACCTTTCTTTACTTAAAGCATTTACTTTAGAAAACTTGTAATTGTAAATTCATTATCTGCCCCTTTGAGAGGTTAATCTTAGAGCTCTGGCCAGTTTTCCACCTCTGGAATATTTTTCTGAAGGACCAGAGAGCCATCTCTTTGAAATGAAGTGAAGATAGCTGCTCTCTCTCAGTCTCTTTGGAGGGTAGAGCCTAAATTCCCTGGATATCTTCCTCCAAGATGTAAAACTACCTCCTATCCTGAAGGTAGGAGAAAGTTGCTTTTCCCTGCCACAGGATCAATTAGCAAACCCAGCAAGGAGTGAACACTCAATAAATATGAAATGTTTTTTTGTTCAGTGTTGCTATATGTGTACTATGTAGCTTATCTCCATTATTTCAATGCTTTATGATCAATATCTGAATTTTCCAATGTTTTCTGGTGCCAGAATAGATATAATGTGTTGGGACTCAGAAAGTGATACCCTAAAATATCCTACTTCAGACTTTAAACTGAGAAAACCTGAGGAACAGCAAATTCATAGAAGAGCTTTTCTTGATGCTCCCTTATCTGACTAAGGAAAGTTCCTCCAGAAAAAAATATAATCATCAACTAGGGAAGACTAATCCACAGGAAAGTCCCTTACAGTCTGACATCTCACTCAGAGAGACTTTTAGCCCAGGCTGCCGTCTGTAATTCTGAGGTATGCTACCTGAGAAACTTCTTCTGCGTGATAAGACAGCCTTTGTTCATGGTGCATCTCCTGCCCTCACCCTTCCACAGCTTTTCCCTATCACTCTCCTGAAGCCTCAGCCCCAATTTCCTTCTGTATGGAATAACAACTTTCATCATCTGGTTATCCTTTGAGCCTCACATTTTGTGGGGCTCCCATACAATATGCACATAATAAATATGTTTGCCATTTCTCCTGTTAATTTGTCTATTGTCAGTTTCTTTCATAGACTGAAATTAATTGAACCTTCAGGGGGCAGAGGAAAGTTCTTTTCACCCTTCATATGCATAATTTATAAATAAGGGAAATAAGTTTTAAATTGCTTTAAAGCTGAATAGTAATTAAGAAAAACTATATCATTAAAGTATTTGAATTCAGCATTAGTTTTCAGTATTGAAGTGAAACGAATAGTAGCTGAAATGAAACAAGTTTGTTGAAATAAAACTATTTGTTGCTTTTTCTTTAAGGAAATTCATGGAAAGCACTCACAAGTACTGATAACTTTGGTGATTATACTATTGGACCAAGAAAAATAAATAAAACTATTTGTTTTATTTCCATAGTAATGGAAATAAAGCAAACAGTAATTCAGAAAACTATATCACTTAAGTATTTGAATTCAGCATTGAAATTAAAACAAACTGGGAAACTTAAAAAGGGACATTCTTATCACTTTATACTAGAAATCACTAGAAATCATTTGCTCCACTATGAAGAGACAGTTTCTTAAGAAAGTTGCCAATTTTATCTAAAGTGGCTTTATCTGCTTAATTTTTCTGAATAATTTATTGCTTTAACTCATATACTCAATTATTAAACCATTTTCATATAAATAAAAGTCAAGTTTCCACCATTAAAATTTTTTTTAAGTGTTGCATGTCTTTTTAATTTGAGAACCCTCTTTTATGAAAAAATTCTTCTTCAATCTTAAAAGAACACACTTTACCTTGTGGCGAGTAAGAGCTACTTGATGGTCCATTATGCTAATCTCAGAAGTAGCTTGTAATTCACTGAGAAACAGCTTAATCCAGATAGAAAAGGAAAGCAGCAGCTCATCAAATTGCTGGTGTTCAGCAACCACAGACTGAAGAAAATTAATCCTATGTATGCAAAGTATTAAAGTTAAAATGTCCCATAAGTGAACAGAAAGGATTAATAATACATTTTGGGAATTAACTTTACCCAAGGGCAAAAGCAATGTTGTCATACATGAACACTCTATACCTCTTGATGATTTTTACTTCCCAAATGCTGCTTTACTCAAAATCTTCCCTGTCTCAGTTAACATTGCCATCATCCACCCTGATGGTTCTATGAGGCATTCTTCATCTTTTCTTTCTTTATAAGAACATCTAATCTATGGATACCCTCTCAGCACAATATATGTCCCAAAACTGAATGAAATTCCTAGAATTCTGATGACTTAGTATATGTTATCAGTAATAATTATTGTTATGTTAAATTGCTGTTTGCCATGAAAGTAACCAAATTTTTTAATCAATTGTATCTTTAACCATGGCTAGCCTAAAATTTTGTCATCTATAGACAATTATTGTTTTACTTTTTTTCTTCTCAAAAAGTGGTTTATAGTCAGCTGCTATCCAAAATTTGCTTTTTCATTAAGGAAATTTATGGAAAGGACTCTTACAAGTACTCTTAAATACAGATTTCTTGATAACTTTGGAGATTATACTATTTGGCTAAGAAAAAACTTCCATGGCTGGGTGCAGTGGCTCACGCCTATAGTCCCAATTCTTTGGGAGGCCAAGGCAGGTGGATTACTTGAGGTCAGGAGTTTGAGACTAGCGTGGCCAACATGGAAAACTCCATTTCTACAAAAAATATAAAAATTAGCCATGTGTGGTGGTGCACAACTATAATCCCAGCTACTTAGAAGGCTGAGGCATCACTTGAATCCAGAAGGCAGAGGTTGTAGTGAGCCAAGACTGCATCACTGCACTCCAGCCTGGGCAACAGAGTGAGACTCTGTCTTAAAAGAAAAAAAAACTTCGAGGACTCAGATTAAAAAGCTGATACATTCATGAGATTTGCTAACCCAACATCAAGCAGAAAAAGAGTTAATTACATGGGACTGAACTAACAGAGGCCAGAAATACTTTTTTTAATGGCTTTTTGTTTGAAACATTGCTTATCCTTTTTATGTTTTCATTTCCAGAGTCAAGATAATTTTTTTTCCTTTTCCCTCTCTACTTGATTCTCCAGAATTTGGAAACTATTTGTGAGTATTCTTTATGTATTGTAATATAGTTATTTGTAAATGTTCAATAAGCCTATGTTTTGTAACAGGATACAATTGGAAACATTGGTTATTTTACCAAGGCTTTGACTGGAATGGCATATTTTTAGATATGATCAGACTGCTTTGAGGAATGGAGGTCAACTTTATAGAGCCAATGAAGAGCCCCTTGGGAAGATTGGCCTTATATTTTTCTATGTGATGCCTTTATAAAATTTGTGACCTGTGGTAAGTAAAGAATGTCACTTTCTGAAAGGCCCACAAATCTCAAGTTATATTGGGACCTTGAGAAGAAACGAATTCACCCAATTCATATGGATGTCTGCAGGCACAGATAAATCTTTGGCTTGATTAACCTTGAGAGACTTTTGAAGGTTTAATCTGAGATTTCTTATGAAGAAAGCACCAGCAAAGCCAATTTTTAAAAAGCTTATGTGGCCAATCATTAACCTTGCTGCACTTTATATGGATAATTAGGCCAAGCATAATAAGACTAAAATTTATCTTGCAAATAATTTGGCCCTATGATAATTTGTCTTTGGTAGAAATGGGGGGCTGGAGAGAGAACATTATGTTAAAAAACTATCGTATGCGTGTTATTAGATTCTAACTTTGTTCATTGTTTTTGAGCTTTTATTATTTTCTAACAATTTGGACTTCAGAATCCTGAATTCTTTCCGGGCTACAAGCTTCCAAACTAAGGTTTTCCAAATCTTCCTTTCATTTTCCTTATTTTATGTATTCTTTTTTTTTGGAGATAGAGTTTCACTCTTGTTGCCCAGGGTGAAGTGCAATGGTGTGATCTAGGCTCACTGCAAATTCTGCCTCGTGGGTTCAAGCTATTCTCCTGCCTTAGCCTCCCAAGTAGCTGGGATTACAGGTGCCCACCACCACACCAGCCTAATTTTTGTATTATTAGTAGAGAGGGGTTTCACCACATTGGCCAGGTGGGTCTCAAACTCCTAACCTCAGGTGATCCATTTGCCTTAGCCTCCCAAAGGGCTGGGATTACAGGTGTGAGCCACCATGCCTGGCCAAAACTGCTTTTCTTAAAGTCCCACAAAGGGCAGCTAGACAACTAAACTTTGGGAGAAATAACAGAAATTTATAAGTAAACAGCCTATGTGCCTGCTGATGTATTGACTTCTCGGAAAGTTCACTTGACCATCAATCTGAACTACATTCCAGAAAAACCTGTTCAGATTGCTACTGTAATCTGAAGATGCTTCACAAACTCTAGAAAAACAAGTCTATAGACTACTTTAGACATTAACCTTCGTTTTTCTTCTGTTTCCTTAGAAATGCCTCTTATTAAAGATGTGTTTGCCTGCATCATCTACAGAGGCCCAGCCCATTTGCAATGCCACCCTCTGGAATGGGACAAAGATATTTAACTGAACTGATCTTTTCTCAGGACTGAGACACTGACTAAAGAAGACATGGAACAATATGTTTCAGTCTGCTTTTTTTCTGTGTATCTTGATTTGCTTTTCCACTCCTTTGTCTTTCTCTATCAAATAACTTTTCTTTTTCTTTTTATTTTAGTGAGACAAGTATCACTCTGTTGCCCAGGCTTCAGTGCAGTGCTGTGATCACAGCTTCCTGTAACTTCAAACTCCTGGTCTCAAGTAATCCTCTTGCCTCAGCCTTCGGAGAAGCTGAGACTACAGTTACATGCCACCATGCCTGGATAGTTTTTTTTTTAAATTTTTCTTGTAGAGATGAGGTCTTGCTATGTTTCCCAAGCAGTCCTCTCACCTGGGCCTCCCAAAACTCTGGGATTATGGGCATGAGCCATCACACTCAACCTCTATCAAACAAATCTCTTCGAAACTATTCATTTAGCTTTTAATATGTGAAACGGTTTTTAAGTTTCAAAGTGGGAACTGAAGAAAACCAAAATATTTTACTCTAAAATATATTCCTTTGACAAATTCTGAAATGATCCTGTAAAGCTGTCTTTTGCGGGGAGAATTTGCTTCTGTAGATCTGTAGAGAATCTTCACTAATGCAGCTCGCCCTGCCTTTGTCCAGATCTAGGAAAGATAAACTGAGAGTCAAACACTATAAAGACCTGAAAGAGACAATTGCCATCTATTTTTCTTGAGAGCTATACCTATGAGGTTTCATCTACATAGCAAGACCAGCTTTTCTAGCTAAGCTTCTTCGTTTCTCCCTCCAATAACATGTCTTGCCATGAAAATCTGTTTTGGGCCATTTTCTGAGCTCACAGTTTTTCTATAACCTCCAGATGGTATATATTCTGTATGTCAATGGAGGTTGAGTCTTCATTCTGGAGGCTCCTGTGTATATTATATATTAAATAAATTTATATTCCTTTTCTATTAATCTGCCTCATGTCAGTGACTTTCTAACCTCTAGGGGACAAGGGCCTTGGCCCCTACAATCCTCACACCCTGCCCCCACCACACTATACATTGATTCTGTGCTCTTCTCTCCATTTCCACTGCCCCTACCCTGGTCTAAATTTCTTCACTTCTTGCCTGACATTCAACAGCCTTCTAACTGGCTTCCTCCCTCCCACCTTTGACTCCTTACAATCTACTCTCTAGATAATAACTAGACATGATTTCATGTGATAGAACATTACCTGTCCTGCTTAAACACTAGGTAGTTTCCCGTTGCACTTAAGAAGGCAAAACCCCAAACTCCTTACTGTGGTCTACAAGAAAATTCACATTATCTACTTCTCTGGCCTCATCTGACACAACTCTGCCCCACATTCCGATTGACCTCTCTGTCTTCCAATATAACCAACTCATTACTGCCTTAGAGCTTTTGCCATTTTTGCGCCCTTTGCCTGCGTGGGTCTGCTTCCTGCACAGCACACAGATGTTAATCAGGTGTCATCTCCCCAGAGAGGCCTTGCTTGACCCCCATTCTAAAGATACACCAGCCTGCAGTCCCTGTCACACCACCCTGTTTTGTTGTCTTAATAATACTGAATGTTGCCTGAAATTGTCGTTTGTTCACTTGTTTAATTATATATTTATTTCCGCCCCCACCCCCAGCTCCTTCCTCCCCTCTCTCCACACCATGAGAGTATGGACTGTATCTGCCTTGCTTACTGCTGTATCCCCAGCACCTAAAAAGTTGCCTAGGATATCATCAGCGATCAATCAATGCATTTGTGATAAATGAATTAGTTAATAAATAATAGGTGATCAGAGATCAAAATCCAGACACATTAAAGCTAATACCTTCATCAAACACTAGTATTTATTAAAATGGTTTGTCTACAAAGTTCAACTTTTAAATCAGTTTTCATGTTTTAATATTTACAAAATCCTCTACACATTACCCTTATATGCACACATTATATTTTAAATACCTTCACACATTTGTATCACTTTAAAAGCTCTTTACTTTCCCTCTAAGGGATAGGCAGAGGACACATACTGCTTTGTTTTACAAAATTGGTTGCCTTTCAAGAGTTGGCATCAAATTTTTCTGTAAATTTCTGAACCCATTCAAATGTCCCTTTTTTGTTCCTATAATACTTCGTGTTCACCCCTTGTTATTCCCACACTAATATGTATATTATTTGGGGTTAGGTTTTGTTTATTTTTATGGCTCCTGGTCCTGATATGGTACCTTGTACTCAGCAAGTACCTAATATACATTTGTTGATTGATTGAGTACATGAATAAATAAACAATAGAAAAAATATAAGCTCCGTGAAAGTAAGGGATGAAACTCTTTATTGGTGCTATCTCCAGCACATAGAAGAGTATGCTACTCACTGTGGAAACTCAATAAATATTTGCTGAGTGAACGAATTTTTTAAATGGACAAAAAGGTTAAATTTATCTTGCTTACTCCAAAAGATCTATATTAAAATGAAATATACTAGCATATGTGTATAAAATGCCTCTGGTTGAGAAATGTCACATGAAATAATATTTTAGGTACCATTTTTCCCACACAAAACAGCTTATGTAATAAATAATACAAACATTAGTAATCCTACTCTCTTTCATCTATTTCAACTGGTTTAATCACTTGCCCTTATTTTAAAACTAAATTGTGAATCGGGATTCATTAGAAATGCTCAGCTTTGTGGACCTTGATTTTCAAAGTGAAAGTTTTCTTCCCTTCTGTAGTTATCAGCTGAGTAGTTGGAGTTAAATAAAAGTAAACAAAACTATGCTTTCTTAATTTATATGATCATCGTTTAAAAGCAAATGAACAATATTGGAAGATTTATCTTTTAGAACCCACCTTTTGTTAATTATCTGGGGTAAATCTCTCCATCTCTCATCCAACTGCTCCAAATGTAGTTTCAGCATTTTCACATCCTCTTTGGAGGCTACCGAAAACAATGATTCCTTCAGTTGCAAAAGTTTGCTATAGAATGAGGCCTGGGATAGAACTTCATTTTGCAGTGCCTGAAACAAACAAGACATTACGGATCTCATCCCAACATGAATGAAAAGTAAGGACCACGCAACACAGGGGGTTCTTGCCCAAAGAATTTGCATTTTTGCAAAATGGAAGTCACTGGGGCCAGGCTGAAGAGAGCTTTTATTACTTGATTTAGAAATGGATCCACTTGGATCCATTTCTAATGGAATTTGGTTCCATTCCATTAAAGGTTAAGTGGATCCATTTCTAAATCAAGTAATAATATGTGACTGAAACCTGAATAAGTTTTCTGGAGTCTGAGTTATAAGTTAGGCAAATCAAGAAGCTGTAGAGTTTCTTTCAGGATAAAGAGACTGAGTAGGCAAAGAGAATCAAAGAAAAACTATTGACAGAGAGATCAGTGCAAAGCTAACAGTAAGAGATGCATTGTAGTCTGGGACACGTTCTCCCTCTCTGTTTAGAGACTAGATTAGGCCAAATGGGAGAACTTAAGGGCTCTTCATTTTACTTTTAAGCAATAGAACTCCTTCATTTAAAAATTTAATCAGGCAGTGAATCTCTTAAGGGCTGTGAGGTGCATGAAAGTTGTGGTTCCTACCTAATAAGAGCTAAAATATAAACACTCCAATAAATTGGTAACAATAAAAAAAGATGTTAAGTAAAATGATAGGTACAGCATGGCAGACAGTAAGTAGATGCTTGTGGAAATGCTTTCCTTCCCTTCCTAGTGAGGCCACACATGTAATACATGCAAGATCACTAAAGGGATTAGAGGCAGGAGTACATAGCCTGTGCATGACAGGTAAGACCATGAAGCAGAATTGCTGCTTACACTGGGTACAAAGGAAAGAAACAGGGCAGGATGCAGAGCCCAAAGGTGGGAATGCACAAGTCAGGTCCAGCCCACGAGGTGAGGCTGCCTTACTGATGCAATGTCAGGATGCAGAAGCAACAGAGTTTGCAGTCCTCTCAGTCATATGGCATCTAGTTTCCACGTGAAGATGTGCAGCAACAGTTTTAATGCCCAGGTAGCCTTGTGTCAATGTTCTCATTTATAAGAAAAAGATCTGTGATGTCGCTTCTGGGAACACCCCATGTGTATATGAAAGAAGACAGGAGCCAGATTGTAGATCAGAATTGCCCTTTATTTTATGCTTAGGGCAGGAAACAGTCACTATGGGTTTCTGAGAAGGGACTTGGTGGAAGGTGAGTGCAGACATCAGTGTTTAATAAATCAGAAAGTCAGGAGAACCAGGAGAATGGAGTACCCACTCAAGTCAAGGAAGGAGAACATTTAAAGGTGGGGCAACAGATTCAGATGCTACAGACACTGGTGACAGAGTTTTCAGAGAATCAGTTACAAAAGGTAAAAGAACATAGCTTCCTCTTAAATGTCTTATGAAAGTTGATGGGAGAAAGTTGGAATATAAATCTGTAATGCAACAAATCTCTTTTGAGAAACAATTTTGACTGTTGGATTTTCTGGCATAGATAGCATTGTTTGAGGCAAGATATTAATCTCTAGAAATCAGTGACATTGTCTTTAGCTTCAATTATACTCAAAGATTTTCTTTCTTTTAGTTTAAAAGATTGACTTCTTCAAGTATGAAATAAACTTTGTCTTTCTACTCATTACCTACATTTGTGCTCATTTTTTTCTTGCATGAAAATAATCATTACTGTGACTTCTTTTTACATCCTATTTCTTATTTCTTTAAAAGAACACCCTTTATTGCCCCAAATTCACATACATATCAAAGTAGAGAGATTATACCTATTTCCAGCCTCAGAAATTATGAACTGATAGCCAACCTCTTTTCATCTATATTCCTACCCATCATTTCCTCTCCTTTGCCAAATCATTTATATTCAGATGCCAGACATTGAATTACAGGATTTTCTAGCACATCATGGAAACTGAACATCACAAAGTTCTCATTGTAAGTTTCTCTGTCTTTCAGGTCATGGTTGCTGTTTTCTTTTCGGAACACCTTGATTCAAATGATGCATCAGGAATCACAAAATCAATGCAAGAAGGAAGATGCAAATTTATTTATTTTATTACTTTATTTTAAAAAAATAATGTAACTGTAACAAAAGCATTTTGCTTTTCTTTCCTCACACTTCCTTGAACTTGCCTGAATTAACTGAAGTTCACTTTCCACTTTGACTCTGTCTGCAGAAATGTCCATTTCTGGGGAACTGGCTATAGCTTCACAACGCTCTAACCAAGTCAGAAAGGATGATAGTTCTTTCTCTAGCCTAAAGGAAGCAGAGAACAGAAACAAATTCATTGAAAATTTTCATGCTAGAAGATCAAACCCTTCTGAAGTTGGAGGGTCCAACACAAACCATAGTAAACAATATAGTCTTAGTTATCTCAGTCTTAGACGAGACAGCACAAAGATCACTCCTTTCATTTTCATGTGTATCCCTGCACTCAGGTTTCTATTGAGTAATATGTAAAGATCCACATACATCCTCTCCACTCTTGGGAATCTTCACCTTATAACAAAGATCAAGAGTTTCCTGTGCTACACCCACAAGTTCATGTGTTTCGCAACTGGGATAATTATTCCCCATCACTTAAAGAACTGCTAATCCAGAATTTCCTATTTAGTAGTGGCAGCAACTCAAGGAAAAATGCTGCTCACCTCTGCCAGTGGGCCAGCAGGTTCTCCAGCGCAGTCTGTCTCTCCTTCGCCTTCCTTAGGGTGCCCTCGTATTGCTGTTGTAGAGCCGCAGCCTCCTGAACACAGGAGTCTCTGTTCACAACTTTCCTGGCACTGGCTGAGAAGGCAGTGATCGGGCTGCTCAGGGACTCCAGGGCCTGGCAGAGATCCTAAGAAGAGTTCGAGAAGAATGCAATGAAAGCACAGGAGCCAACGAGACCTGCATTTTGCTTTGACACCCACCATCACAAAATATTTTCCCTCAGTCATGATAAACAGTAATGGTACTAAGAATGGGTACAAATATACAGTTTAATAGAAGAAATCAGACTTACTCTTTGATAGATTAGTTGGGGGACTATGCAATAATCTATCCTATATTTCAAAACACCTAGAAAATAGTTAGAATGTTCCTTGCATAAGTAAAACACAAATATTTTAGGTGATGAAGGTCCCAATTCCACTGATTTTACTCTTACAAATTATATGAATGTATTAAATGATCACATGTGCACCATTGAAAACAAATAAAAGTTAAATCTATTTTTAAAAGGTCTGTGCCCATGATTTGCAGCAAGACATAGTGAAAATGAGAAAAAAAGTGATCTCATTAATACAGAAATCAAAAATGAAAATGGAGAGAGTTATCCAAATAAGAATGTACTGCTATTTATCTGAAAACTTTCAACTTTCCTTTAACAATTTAGATAACTTGTAAAGATGATTAGTCATTTTACGCTAAATATGTGAGTATTTAAAAACCCATCCTTAACTTACAAAAACCACATGTAACATACCATAATCACTACAAGAACTACATATAAAAAGAGTTATGGCTGAAGAAGCTGCTGTCTACCTCAATAAAAATAATAATAGTAACAATGACACAGTGCCTCAGAATCTGGCCAGCACTGTGTTACCTGCATCCCATGTATTGACTAATTTCATCTTCATTAGAACCCTAAGAGGCATGTCCTTTCATTAGAAAAACCACTTGCTTTAGGAAATTTAAATACCAGAAAGAAAATAATTTCATCACACTGAATTCTACTTTTCCTCATTTTTTTGTATAAAGAAATTACCAATAAGTAACACAAAAGTGTATTCTCATTATAAATATTTAACCAATAGAAATCTTACTCCCTCTTCCAGACATGCCTATGTCAATGGGTTGTTTTCTATCATGTACACCTTTATAAATGTACATGCATTAGGACGTGTACACATGCATGTGCAATAGGAATCATATTTATATTTTTATTTATTAATTAACATATTGTAGTACTTCTTTGCATATAATTCTCCCTATTCGTTCCTCCCCTCAAATTCTGTAAGAGCCATCTGTTTGTTGCCTTGCAGAAGATTTGTAATGATCAATTCTGAGACTAGGTCAGAAGGCCATTCGTTGGAAACAGGTCAGTGAGGATACATTCCTTAAACATCTGAGTATAGTGGGTTAAAATCTGAAGATAGCTATACACATATATTTTTCCTTGCAAATATACTTTTTTTATAATGCTGGCAAGAGGTAACAGGATTTATTAAAGCTAAACTCTGAAAATGTTACACATTCTAACTAAAAGAGATAAATTTATTTGAAATGAATACTCCTTTAATATACATCTTTAATAAAAATTTATTCACACACTTACATGCCTTATATAAAGTGAATATTAGATCTATATACTTACTCGACTAATATAAACATTTTTCCCGTTTCAATTTTCATAAAAATTTACTCTATTTTCTTTTTAAGTGAGAATTATCAAATTTTTAAGTTGGTAAATAGTAGAAATGTTGAAGCATATTCTTACCATATGTTCTTGAAGAACTTTGTATGTTTCTGTAGCTGAAGAACATATTTTAATTGGAATAGCAAGTTTATCTTCAAATTCAGACACAGATTGCTGGATCTAAAACATTGATGCAATATAAAAATAACAGTGGGAAAAACACATAGCAAGGCAAAAAAAAAAAGGTTACTGAGAAAACAGCATACCTACCTTTTTTGGATAACTTTCAATGTAATTACAAAACGCATTCTTTAAACATCTAAAATCAATGTGTCCTATTATTTGAAAGGAAAATAACTGTTCTTAACGACTAACTGAATGCAATGTGTAACATTCTCGTATGCCACCAAAAACGGTGCCATATAAATAATTATAAATTTACTCTTCATTGACACTTTGGTAGATGATTGGCAAATTATGTCATTTTCTTATTCCACAATTTGTGAAGTACTTATTGTATTTACCTGTAAATACAGTGTGAAATATGTAAACTTAAGTATGCATGGGCCACTTCTTACCTTTCTAAGGTTCTCTTCAAACTTTTGCTGCTGGGATAAATGTCCCAGGATTGTTCCTTCCAGACACTGTGCATGCTCTCGAAGTTCTTCCCAGTATCTTCTTATTTGTGTCAGCTTGGCTTTAATTCGAGCAGATTCTCCAGTGGTAACAAATTGAGCAAAAGACTGGGCTTCTTCTTCTAATCCTATAATGCTGCTGAGCTTACTTTCTATTTCCTGAATTGTGACCTAATAGTTAAAACAAGAAAAATAACCATGTAGGCTGAGCAAGCTTGGCTTCCTAAAATGATATAATCATCTGCAAAGAGGGAATATTTAAAGACTTGGATGGTTTGAGCGCAGCTATGAGCAAACACCATGTGGTTGGCGAGATGAGATATACCGAAAATGTCTGGAAAATACAGTGATGGGTGGTGTGCTTGTTGAATAGAGAATAAGAAGAAGTAACTACTCTTGCTTGCAGTGAAGTAACCCAGGAGATGTCCCTGGGACACTTACATATCTCTGAAGACACAGAGAATTATCTGCTTATGTTATAAATTAGGCATTTTAAATAACTGAGCTAAAGAAGCATTATGTTTCAGTAACTCATTAGAATGCTAAATATTGACATTTACTTATTTTTCTGAAATGCAGTTGAGTATTTCATATGTTACTAAAAGGTTTAATGACTGTACACCTACCTAAAATCAGTTTTTCTTTCTCAAATTTATCATCTGTATCATGCCAGTGGTTTCCAAAGCTAGAATGCATTAGGATCATATGGTCCCTGTTCTCCAGGATTCAGACTTAGTAAGTCTAAGGCAGGGCTCAAGAATTTTCATTTCTAACAAATCCTCAGGTGATACTGAGGCTGCTGATCCAGGGACCTCATTGCTATGAACTTGATAGGGAAAAGCCCACATACTGTCATTTCAATTTATTTCAATTGGGGAAGAAATGACATTTTATGTGTTAGGCAACAGCTGTGAAGGAAGTGTGTGCATGTATACATGTGTTTACGTGTGTCTGTGGAGTATCTCTCACAAACATAGAAGCTTGTTTGTATATAAGAAGATGAAAATTATTTCTCTGAGACAAAGGACAAAATTATTCAATTAAAATAACATCAAAAATTCAGCTAAGTCTCAGTTTCTCGTAATTTAAATGGAAAATACTATTGCCCTAGGGAAAAAAATAAAGTTTTAACTTTTGTCTAGATGAGACACCATAGTCAGAAATAATTTCTGCCTAGTTGAGACAAACAGAAATAAGTTACAAAAGATTAAATGTTGGATATGCGTCACTTATTTTTCTTTTTCACATGAATGAATGAAGTGGTATAGCTCATCAATATTTGTTGTTTGAACATTAATACAACCTTTCTTCATTTTGTTTTTTTAAGATTATATTTTTTAGAAAAGTTAATCATAAATTCAACAAATATAGGTTGTCTACAAAGCACTAATAATAGTTCTAGGTGCTGGAACACATCAGTGAAACAAACTTAGTTAAGAACAGAGCTCTTAGTTCTTAGAATAACAAAAATTCATACATACAAATCACTCGATCATATTGTTGGATTGTGGTAAAAACAAATCCATCTAAGAGAAGAAGATGGAAGATGAACCCAGTATATGTTATCATTTATCAATTATAAGTTAGGTATAAGAAGTCAGTCATTTGAAATGGCATGTAATAATGAACAAAAGTGGGCTTAGTGTATTTATCTTCCAGCAATGCAAATGCTTCATTACTGTTAATCCTAAAATAATTTTAAAGGGAAAACACTACTACAGATGTTACTATATTTTTAACATTTCCTATAATGAGTCTTCTGTTTGGAAATAAAACATAAACCTAACAGACCAATTTCCACAGGACAGGGTATTCCACTGCATCCTTGCTAATTTCTAGCAAATATCTTTTTCCTGGTATTCATATTCACTTTCAGAGAGTTTTTAAAATGCCTTATTGGATGTATTGAAATGTATTTCTAGACTGACAAAATAAAAACAGATGACAGAATATTTATTTAAAAAAATATATAGTCTTTTTTTTTCCTGAAGAATAACAATGAGATGACATTTGATAGATGACATATTCTAAAGTCCTGGAATAAGGGCAAAATAATAGTAAATGAATTATAGAAAGAAAAAATATGTTGAAAAATGTATGTTAATTTTCAAAAGTGGACATTTTTGAGACAAAACTATTTAAATGTACTATTTTTTTCTTAGAATTTAGTGAAAATGATTAAATGACAACTTTTAAAGACAACTTTAACAGTGAATATTCTTTCATAGCCTCACATCTATTTTTCCTGGTGTACCAAAGAAGACATAGCAGATTGTGGATGTGACACTCCATGTATGCTTGACTGCAAAAGATGTGATAAGCAAGGATGATCTGCACAGCAGAAAATGTCATCTGAACAACATTGCACCCTCCCACCCTCCACATGGTAATGACTTGTTCTGAGTCACAGTGTGAAATGTTCCCTCACCTTGGTATTTATTTTACTATATTTAATTGAAATAGCAGAGGGTTTTCCCATTCCAAAAAAAAAAAAGCTGAGGTAGAAAAAGTGGTTGAATTTTTAACATGTGTGGTATAAACTTGTATAAAGTAAAGAGAAATGAACACTCCAAGCTCATTGCTTTAAGCCCATTTTTCTTCTTGAACTGTCTAAATGAAGTGGTCAATCATAGTCTATCCACCTGGTCATTTTAGACCTGGGAGAGCTAAGAAATCAGAGGACCTCTATCCATGCTCCGAGGCCATAAATGAAAACATTATAGCAATGGAGTAGAATTGCTTCACTTAAGAAAGATGCTTTTCAAACTCCTCCTTGTGATTGGTATGGGTAAGTCACACTAATACTTGAGCTGGACAGTGGGACTGGTATTTTAGAGTTGTACATGCTGAATACATTTCATGTTGTATAATGAATCGGCAGAGCATTCTACTGAGGTTAATTCAAAATCAAGGAAAAGAATGTAACCATAAAAATATTTTAATGATATTTCACACAATGTTAACTTTGAATGCACAAGTCAGACAATGTTAATACATAATTCCAACTATAAAGTGTTGCCCAGTATTAATCCAGACCTCTTAGCTTGGTAATCTGTGTGAATTTAATTTTAATAATCACATTGCAAAGAAAGACTTGTCCTGGGACCAAACAGCATTTGATGAAATGTAAGGAAGTAGTTCTTAAAAGCTAGACATGGATTATAAATATAACGTGTGAGCAGGTCACCTTAATTTGGCTGATTTGCATGTCCATGGCAGATGATGAAGTTTCCAAGCCATTGAGTTCTTTTTCTTTCTCAGTTATCCAGGTGGACAGAGTCTCAAAATTACTGCCAAAATGATCCCACTTGGTTTTCACCATTTCCATGGTTTTAATACTAAAATTAACCAAATTAAGTAAATAAAACTCAGTATTTTAATAGAGAACAACAACACATTTTCCTTGAAATCACCAGGTGAGAAGATAATGAAGACATTTATGACCATTTCAAAGTTGAAACTACTTGAGCTAAAAAAATGCACATTTGTTCTGAGTAGTTTATCAGGTTTTCCTGTCTTCTCTGAGAATGGACATTTAATGAGGCAGTGTCTATGCTTTGAGTGGAACTGCACTTCAAATAAAATATTGCTGGGTCCAAAGGGGTTTGAATCCAGGTATAATCTAATTAAACTCTGCATGTGACCAGTTGTTGCCAGGACTTATTTTAGTAAACTATGCCAGAAGAGATTTCAGGGTTTTAAAAGAGATTTACAGCTTTTCAATAGTCCTGTTTCCAAAGACATGGTCTTTTTTTTTTTTTTTCAGCTAGAGTCTTGCTCTGTCATCAGGCTGGAGTGCAATGGTGCGATTTCGGCTCACTGCAACCTCCACCTCCCAGGTTCAAGCAAGTCTCCTACTTCAGCCTCCTGAGTAGCTGGGATTATAGGCATGCACCACCACACCTGGCTAATTTTTTTATTTTAGTAGAGATGGGGTTTCAGCATGTTGCCCAGGCTGGTCTTGAACTCCTGAGCTCAGGCAATCCACCCGCCTCCCAAAGTGCTGGGATTACAGGCGTGAACAACCGCGCCTGGCTGGAAGACATGTTCTTCTTACTCTTAAAGGAGAGACACTGCAGTGATGCTTTCTATGGAAAGACCTTTACAAACTGCATTTTATCAATCAAGACAACTTGTGATCTCAATCCCATGCTGCCAGACAGGAACTGTTTCTATTATCAGAGCTAATCCTGAAATGTATAATATATGTGATTTCAGCCATTTTCATAAATGTCTTATGGTCCTGATTCCCAAAGACGTTTATAAATTCCTGTATATGAGCACCCTAAGTACTTTTAGACAACTTAGGCTTTATTTCTAATAAATCTAGTGAACAAAATTTGAGCTATAGATTTCTAATTTGTATTAGCTATGCATGTATAACCAGGTGAATATGGCTTTCAGTTTAGAAAAAGACTAAGAAATTAACACTATATAGCTGAACTGATAAGCCTTTGGGTTAAAAAAGAAAAGTGAAAGGATGTCCCTGTTTAGCAAAAGGCACTTGAAGACATCAAGAAAAATACAATGGCGTCATTGATTGTCAAATTAAATAATATTGCAGCCTCAAATTTATACCCTGGATGTGCCTAATGCTGTCAGCAGTACAGGTAATACAAGCTGTGTTATACTGCAGCTTTTTTAATTAAATAAAGATTAAAATGGCTATGCTTAAGAGAAGTAGCCTCCTTTCTAATAAACTCAAAGTTTTACTATTTCCATAACTTGAGAGAGAATATTTACTATAATATGAAGTCCTCAAAATTTCGTCATAATTTGTTTTAAATAAAATATGTATCAAATTTTAAAGTTTAAGCAAACGTAAAATGTTAATTTTAAGCTGTTAATAGTATTAAAAACACATTTTACATTTTAAAATCCACCATAGAAATGATGGCCTCTTTCTTAATAATAATATGCTGTTGTATATCATTGATTTTCCACTAAATTACGTTAAAGTAGAAATGTTTGGCCATACTATCTTGAGGAATATTGGCTGTATGCTCATGTTTTCCTCTCCAAACTTTTTGGTGTATATTGTGCATATAACAGGATATGAATAGGCCACACAGTTATTTCTGTTCAGATAAACAAACATTAAAAGTTTAAAGATAAAATGGATTTTTAAAGTTAATTACTGGAAATAGCATATTAATTAGGATAACTTGAAAACTGAGGCACTGTAAACAAGCTCCAGGAGCTTCTTCAAGTTGGAGACACATGGTCTACGTGATGTGTATTTAGGCCTAGAATCTACACTACAAAATATCTCCTTTTCACTCTAACTGGTGATGGCAGAATAATATCATAAAAAATTATCTTAAATATTAGCTCTTTTTAAAGATTCCCTCTACAATGTACAAAGGCCACAGAATGGAAGAGTTATGGCTTTCTCATGAACATGATCAGTTTAAGATGCAAAACCCACATCCTTTCTATTTTTTGGCTCTGTGATAGATATTGGTTTCTGTATTAGTGATACTTTCTTTTGAATTGTGAGTTGTTTCCTCAAAACATGCTGGAATACACAGACACTTTGAGATTTTAAAAGAATGTTTTGAATACAAAGTACAGGAAAGATTGTATGAAACTTTATCTCAGAGAAGAAAGTTTAGGACTTGTCAATCACATACTCTTCTTCAAGCGTGTCTTCTAATTTTTTGACTTGCTCTTTGATTGACTTGGCCTGCTGTTGAAGCAGCTGCTTGTTTTGGGGCCCAAGTGGTATCTCTGAAGCTTCCTTTACAAGGTTCTCAGCCTGGACTGCAATACTTTCTGTCCGTTTAGAAAACTCCTGGAAAAAAATATTATAATCGTTAGGTAGGCATTTTATATTATTTATCTCTGCCCTCAAATAAAGTGCACATATTGCATACAGAATAGATGGGTGGATGAAGAGATGGATTCATACATCTTACATTGTTCTTAACAATAAAAATGACTTATTTCCATCTGGCTGAAATACACACTTTGCTAGCACTTTGTTTATATTATTTCATTTTTTGAGATAAGGTCTTGATCTTTTGCCCATGCTGGAATGCAGTGGTGCAATCATGGCTCACTGCAGCTTCCAACTCCTGAGCTCATATGATTTTCTCACCTCAGCCTCCCAAGTGGCTGGTACCACAGGCTGACACTACCGTGCCTGGCTAATTTTCTGATTTCTATAGAGATGAGGTCTCACTATGATGCCCAGGCTGATCTTGAACTCCTGGGCTCAAGTAATCCTCCAGTCCTGACATCCCAAAATGCTGGGATCACAGGTGGGCACCACCACCCCGGCTAAGTTTTTCATTTTATAAACACAGCCAGCTATTTACCTCCACAGTTATCCAAAAATACTCACAAAAATTGTTACTCTTTTGTTTCCTGGTTTTGCTTCATTGTTTCGAATTCTTAGCTTCATTATAATAATGAATTTATTCACAAATAAGTTAACTTATTACAGGCCAGTTCACCAAAATCAATAGTTATTGTTCATAGAGATAACAGATTTCTAGTCCAATGAATAGAAACATTTATTTATTTAATGTAATATCTTAGTCAAAAGAGACTACTAGTGATCTTTGGCCAGGCATGATAGCTCATGCCTTCAACCCCAGAATTTTGGGAGGCTGAGGCAGGAGGATTGCTTGAGGCCAGGAGGCAAGACCTCCATCTCTAGTCAAAAAAAAAAAAAAAAAAAAAGTGGCCGAGCATGGTGGTGCATGCCTGCAGTCCTAGCTACTCAGGAGGCTGAGGTGAGAGGAGATAGAGGCTGCAGTGAGTGGGCATAATGGCGCCACTACTTTCCAGCCTGGGAAACAGAGCAAGACTTTGTCTCAGAGAGAGAGACAGAGAAAGAAAGAGAAAGAGAGACAGGGAGAGAGAGAAGTAACCAAACCATTTTGTTAACTAGTTCTTTGAAAAGAGCTGTAATCTAATCTTAGTGTTGTTAAATCTTATTTATTACATATGTGGAAAGAAAATTTAACTTTTGAATCAGTCAAGCTGGGGCTAGAATCCAGGATCACTAGTTTGACTTTGGTGAATTATTTTCAGGCTCTTTCATGTAAAATGCAGATGATAATGCTTTTCTTGAAAGATCACTGTTAGCATTCCATTAGCAATCTTACTTTTAAAGTGCCTAATAATCTGGCAGATGTTGATTATTGGTTTTGGCAGATACTGATTATTGTTTTTTATGTCTCTCATATAAAATTGAGAACAAAATGATTTATTAAGCCCATATACTTATTTTCAATAATACTGAACTACTTTAATTGAAAAGTTGGTTTCGTATGTATAAGGCTGATAAATATTAGATGTTACCTGAATTTTGTCAGGTAAATATATTGATACTGAATTAGAAAAGGTAAATCCAGTATAACCTTAAGTGAAGAAAATGTACTTGGTATCTCATTTCTTCTCATGTGAGAAAATCTCTCAGGAGGTTTACATTTTGATCAACTCCCTTCTCCTAAATGAATAATGTAAAAATGTAAGTATTTCTCAGAAGTCAGCTTTTCAGTAAGATCATCTCCTAGAATTATTACATAATACCATACAAGATAGAGTTACTACATATACTATTATATCTGTATGTTTAAAAAACTTAATGTTCTCATAGAAATATCATGATCTTGGCCAACAAATATCAATGTTGGCCGAGATTGTGCCACTGCACTCCAGCCTGGCTGACAGAGTGAGACTGTCTCAAAATTTTAAGAAGAAAAAAAAAGTCAATGTTACTTCAGAGAACTACTTTGCAATTTAAGAGAATAAAAATGAATAAGTACAGCTTCCTTATGGTACAGAGATTTATAGTAAACTAAAATATGGTAGTTGCTGATGTCACAACATATTTAGTTAAAAGAACCCACTGTTACTATATGTGAACTTACAGTCATTGTAGATTCAATTGTGAAGACTGCAAATCATCACATGATCTCTTAGAATCCCATGAATATAATCAGAAGTGAAAAATAAAGTGTTTTCTTTCTGCTAGTGTTTCTCAGAACCCAGGAAAAACATGGAAAAAGTAATGTTTGAAAATGCTTATATACATTCAATTTTAGAGCATTTTCTGTGAGCTACATATGGAAAAAGCACAATGCAGAGAAATCAAAAGAGCAGAATGATGTTGACAAAAAACCAAAATTAAACAAAAACAGAATAACATTGTAAGGCCTTATCTCTACATTCTTAGAAAACATATGTGTGTCAGCAGGGTGCATCTGGTAAAAATTGACTCACATTAGACTGATCTGGGATTAAACCCACTCATTAGCTGAGTGACCTTTGACCACATCTCTCTGAATTTTCATTGATTCATCAGTAAAACCATACCTTATTTTGAAGATTAAGCATAGTATTTCTATGAACACTCTATCACACACACACCAGCACACAGAGGACACTCAAGTCCTTTACACAACCATTCCTTAGCACAACTACTCTACGGCTATCAACTGGAATAAAGGTTTGTGATAACAAAGCAAAGTGTGCAAAGAACTAGAGGAGAACAATTACTCTAGATTGGCAGTGAACATAAGCAATTAGTAAAATGGCTCTGTTTTCTGAATGAACAAATAACGTAGTGGTTAAAGGTGTGGGCTCTGGATGAAGAGCTTCTGGACTGAAATCCCAACCTCATCATTTAGTGAGTTCATCACCAGCTTTGTGCCTTATGTGTCCTTCTTTATACAACAGGTTTGAGAAAAATACCTATTTCTTAGGACTGTTTTGAGAATTAAAGGCGATGATAAATATCAAATGATTAAATCGGCATATTGCATGTGCTTGATAAATGTTACCTCATATTATTAGATCAATCCCAAAGTGTGGAAGATTATGGACAAACGAGAATTTGAATAACATGACTCAAAAGATTACATTTGTTTCAATCTACAGGTACTTAAACTGATCCAAAGGGATTAGTGCAAATGGAATCATAGGGGATCAGAAACTCTGGATGGAACCTGGGCAGAAACATTTAGAAAATTAAACCCAATAAATATCTTTGTATTCATAAAAGGCACCTGGTACATTTTTAATACATGAAATAATTTTTTTTAATAGAGGTGAGGTATTGCTATGTTGACCAGGCTGGTCTCAACTCCTGGTCTCAAACAATCCTCCCATCTCAGCCTCCCAAAGTGCTAGGGTTACAGGCATGAGCCATCATACCTGGCCAAATAATTTAAATTAAAAATTAAAATAATGTTCTATTAAATGGCTGATGAAAATTGTATAGACTTGAAAGAGTCTGTAGTCTTATAAAACTACAAACTCCTCAGTAAGTTTTTAAAAGAAACAAAAAATTAGCAGTATGAGAGAGAGTGAAGCCTTTTGCAGGTAAGAAAACAGAAGCACAAAGGTTTTCTTGCTAAAGGCTAGGGAAGGGTGGGCGCAAGGCTCTTGTTTCTAAGACACCAGTTAACCCATTTTTCTACTAATTCAGTCTTTCTATAAACCCCAAAGAGGGACCATAGCAACTTAAATGGCCTGTGCCTGTACAAATCTAAATGCTTGGTACAAATTGATTGGTCTGCTTAGAATGTCCAGGGTATTTGAGCTTGTAGGATTGGGTTCACCAAGTACACTGTCTCTTTGATGCCCCACTGGAATCTCAAAATCATTACCTCCAAAATGAAGTTGGTCATCTTTTCCCATGAGCTCTTTCACATTCCCCATCTCACTTCCATTGCCTCTCTCAGACCCAAAACGTTGGGTATCACCATTTTCATCACTCACTCTATCTGGTTAGTTTCCCTATCTTCCTATGAACCCCACATCTTTTGCATCTGTTTCTGTGTATCAACTGCCACCCCACCACCCTTATTTATTCCCATATCAACTTCCATATGCCCATATGCAACAACTTTCTAAATGGATCCCATGACCCCAGTCTTTCACACTTTCAGTCACTTCTCTACACCTGCCTAAAAAATTCATCCAAAGCCCAACTCTGATCGTGAAACTTTTCCTTATAAGCCTTCAATAGCTCTGGTTCCACATTGCCTAGAGAGTAATGCTTTACGTCTTCAAGACTCTGAAATATGGACCAAATTTCCTGTACAAATTCATTTCCCATTGTTCTCTTTTACAATATAGAATGCCTATTCAGAACACTTTTATGTTCTATGTCATTCCACCTTCCAAAGAATGTCTGTATTTTGCTCCAAACTCCACTTTACTAAGTTTTACCTGCTCTTTAAGGTTCAGTTAAAAAATATTATTGCCTCCATATTTTAAAAACTTTATACACATCTATTAGGGAACTAACCATTTTCCAATTTGATAAAATCTTTATTTTACTTCTTGATGTTTAATCTTACTTATGTTTTCATTCTCCAGTATGCTGAAAGAATGGGTCATCAATAAATAGTATTGGTTAAATTAACAATGACAATAGTAATAATGGAAGAGAAATTATTTTGTTTTGTTTTGCTTTGTTCTTTTCTGAATACCGACTACTAAGGAGCCATAATATACCTTTGTTTGTTCCAATTCTGAAGATAAACTTTCCAAACTGCTAAAACTCAAGAAGCGTTCATGACTGGAACCTGTTTGAAAAAGGTATCTTACTACTGTTTCTTTGTTTGTTTCAAAACGTTCCCATTTTCTTAATGTGACCTAAATTTGAAAAAAACAAAAACAAAAACAGAACAATAATTGGGTTACAAATATCACAAAATACTGTCACATATTCATTTATTTGCAAAACTGTCAACTTCTAGCGAATTCTCATTTTAAATTTCACACAGTCAAAATGAATAGAGGTGATTCTAGTATCTTCTATAAGAATTTCTTTTCCCTATGTCAATGTTTTCATCTACAAAAAGAGAGGACACATGGACTCTGATGATTTTTGAGTTATTTATCATTTGAAAAGTCTTAGAAATGTAAAAATATTACTTAAAATGTAGGTAAGTGACCAAAGAAAAGCCTCTCAGTCTTTCTCAAACAAGAAAGGAAGCACAGGAGAAGGTAGGGACAGGGATGAAGAGACGAAGAGAAAGTATGCAGGTGGCAAAAACTCAAAAACATTTTGAAAGATAATGTGTCAACATCTCAATAAAGCATAAAGGTGGCATAAACGTGTGGCTGCAAGGCTTCCTCGAAAAGTGAAATGGTATGATCAAATTTCTGGATTCACACAAGTGTGGATGAAATCCTGGCTTTATTATTGATCAGTGCTGTGTGATACAGCACCAAGTCCTCAAACCCTTTCTTCTTAAGCATCCACACTTGCAAAATGTGCTAATTCCGATATCCATCTCTAAGGCTGATGTGATGATTAAAAGATGATTCATGTACAGAATTTAACACAGGGCTGAAACATCAGAGATGGTAACAAAGGTTCCCCCAGGTGTTATGAGGCACAACCGGAAGTGAACACTGCCCAGCCTCCGTTTAAATGGCCCCGGACTTCCGGTTCCTACCTGGATACGGCGCTCCTGTCTCTCCCGGCTGCGCTCCAGGCCGTCCAGGGTACTCTCCAGCTTCCGCAGCTCCTCACGGCCTCTGTCAGGCAGCCCCCCTTCTCCCTGCTGCGCCTGCGCGATCTGCTGCTGCACATCTTTCTTCTTTGCTGAGATCCGCTTTGTCTTTTGCTGGAAGCATTTATTCAACAGATAGATATAAATTGTGCTCTCTAAACAGCTAAGTAGGGACATCAACACCCACACTTAACCTAAGTACAGAAAGGTGGGCCCGAAATATATTTTAAAGCTAAAATTAACAGTTGAAATGGTAGTCAGATGCTATCTTAGTCAAAGATAGACATTATTTATAAATATTGTATGTTTTTAATGGTAAGCAACATAAATAATTTGGCTTTAGTGATTTGTGTGCCAATCTGGAGAACATTTAGCATTGTGTACAATATTCCAGGAAGAGTCTGGCAAAACAATTCGTTTGACATGATTATTCTTAAATAATTATTTTCTGCTTAAAAATACAAAGTCTCAACTCCAATTTTAAAAAATCATTTATTTTATTAAAATGCAAATAATAAGAGATCTATGGCCAGGCGTGGTGCAGTGCCTCACACCTGTAATCCTAGCACTTTGGGAAGCTGAAGCCAGAGGATTGTTTGGGGCCAGAAGTTTGGACCAGTCTGGGCAACACAGCAAGACCCTGTTTCTACAAAAACATTTAAAAATTAGCCAAGTGTGGTGGTGCATGCCTGTGGTCTCAGCTACTTGGGTGGCTGAGGTGGGAGAATCACTTGAATCCAGGAGTTCAAGGCTGCAGGGAACTATGACTGTGCCGCTGCACTCCAGCCTGGGTGGCAGAATGAGACCCTGTCTCCAAAAATAAATGAATAATATTTATTTTCTGAGTATATTCAGAATGGTTAATTTGCTGAGATTTTGAGGGGGGAAATTGTCTTAAAGTAAACTTTTTATTGACGTATAATCTTCAAACAGAATAGTACACAAATCTCAGATATGCAGCTTATAAATTTTCACAAAGTAAATGTACCCATATAAAAAGTACCCAGCCTAAGAAATATGAGAAGCGTTTTAAAACATTAATATAAAATCTATAATCTTAAATTGATTGAACCTAAAGTAAATGGAAATTCAAACAACCATTTCACAATTATTGAGAACAATGTAACATCAAATATTAATTTTTCATACTCATAGGCTTTTTATAATTATTAAGTAAATCTAGAAAACCTAAAGCCTGGGATTTTACACATACTTTTAATGCAATTTCCATTTCTATATATTACAGAACATATATGTATACAGTATACACATAAACATATATAATTAGCTACAATTTTGCTACTGTGTATCAGGTTAGCTAGAATTTTTTCATTAAAATATTTTATTTGAATCAAATTTCCTATTATATTGAGTTTAACAAGGTATATATATTCCTTTTATGAAAACATTTTTAATGTACACTAACAGACTATCAGAAATTAAATTGATTAAAATAGTTTCTTATTAATATATGTACAAGATTTTCTTTACTTCTAGTTCTAATCCCTTATAAGAGTGTACACTCCTGAAAGGTCTAGTACTTCAAATAAGTCATCATTTCCCAAACTAAAGTATGTTCAATGTTTAAGTTGAAGAGCAAGATTTTAACATAATGACAAAAGAACAGTGATCTTAAATATGAAGGAACTGGGCCATCTATGCCTTTCCTCTCTGTTTTGAAAACTCCTTTTCAAAGAATCTAGCAAGTTTTGTGCAGTTTTTCATAGCTAAATCAATTTTCTCTCCACAGTATTCCTTGAACTTTTTGATATCATCAAGTCACTATCTCTGGAAATTTATGTTGCAGAACATCCTGAAATATTTAATATTTAACCAAGAGAGCAAAAACCAGAAACGCCAAGTTCTTTTAACCATCCAACTGGTTCCTTCCCACTCCCCCCTCACCCGCTCCCTCAAGACAGTAGTTATATTATTTATCTCTCTGGTTCTTTCAGTAGCAAATCAACTTTACATAATCTTATTGGAAGAAAGAGGCATTTTTACCTGGTGATGAAGAAGTAACTGCTGTGCTTCAAACAGATTTTCAGTATCCAAGATCTTCTCAGCTTGTTCCTGGGCTTCTTTAGAGCCAGAAATTAATTCTTCAAGAGAATTTTTCACTATTTCTTTGTACTCGACACAGTCCCCAAAGTTGCTTACTATCTTTTCAACCTAGATTTTCAGGGAAACAACAACAACACGTAAATCACATGCTACTTATTGAAAGTTGTGTATTTTTTTTGGTAAGGTATGATTGACCAATAAACATTGTATATATTTAAGGTATACTATGTGACTGTGAAATGATTCTCCAAATAAAGCTAATTAGCCTATCACTCACATATTTCTCCCTTTGTTTTTTTGTGAGAACACTTAAGGTCCACTCTTAGCAAGTTTCAAGTATACAAGAGGTAATATTAACTATAGTCACCACTAGTATATCAGACCCCAGAACTTACTCATCTTAGAACTTAATGTTTGTACCCTTTGATCAAAATTCCTCTGTTGAAGATCATGTTATCTTACATATTTTAGGAGTGTACATAAAGTCTACCTCAAACACTTGAAATATAAACACAGATCTTTAAGTTGTATTCTTTCTCATACTATTCAGGCTTATTCTATTATTATTAAACTTCATAATCATTTATGGGGATTTCAGGCTTCATTCAATATGGTGCTCTGTGGCATATTAAAAATCTGTTCAACCTGGCAATCAAGGAAGGATAACAAAACTGTGTATATTATATATATGTTGCCTTCTAGGTCTCTTTAATTATAATTACATGACTAAAACCTAATTACAAAAGTGCCTTACACTTATTTTCCTCTTTGCCTTATTTAAAGCAAATAGGAAAACATTTGTAGATTTGAAGAAGAGACTGGAAGAGTATGTGTTTAAAATGTACTTCCAATATTCCTATGTAAAAATAAATATAACTAACAATTTTGTAGTCAGCTAATGCATTTAATCCCTTACCATTTCCTAAAGTTTGAACTTCCTTTTCTAATTTCTAATTTCTGCTTCCTCTGTTTCAGTTTTACCAACATCCTTTGTCCTTCATCACTAAGATCATCATTTTTACATATTATCATTTGTTTTCCACAGAAGCCTTCCAGTTTCTTCTTCTCTTATTCTATCTTTTTTCTTTGACTCTCTTCTGATCTAAGTTTATCCAAGGAGAGCAATCTGTTCTCCAAACAAGCAGCAATAAGACGCTATGAAAACCACAAACTCCACACCTCAGAAAAAATCAGAGTAAATCTGTTGAAATAAGTGATTCTTCACTGTATCTTGTGAATCCACCCACGGTCCTTTTTTTTTTTTTTTTTTTTTTCTTACACTGGACAACTGCAAACACATTGTGTTCAACATTAATTTAAATACTAAATAAATTATTATCAAAGAAAGGCTGAATGTGCAGATCCATCACTTCATACAAATCCATCTGTAAACAAAATGTGTTTTTCTCCATTCCTCTCTTTTAGCTTTCACTAAGTAAGTGATCAAGTAGTGGAAAGGAGTATTAATATAATTTATACAGAGGTTTAAGGTAGATGAGTGCATAAAAATTAATGTCTGTGTGAACATTCGTTAGGGATAGATTCTTGATACATGTCCCAGGGGCAACATCATGAGAGAACTTGGAAGATAAAGCAAATGTCCTTGGTAAACGTTAGGGAAACTACTAACTTCTAACTTTAAAGGCTGCTACTTGTTTTTTGTTTTTTGTTTTTTTTTTTAAGTGGGAAAAAATATATTACAAGTTTGTGAATAACTAAAACTATTTGTTTGATCTTGGCTCAAAGATCACCTTCACATATATTAACTTTTTAGAATGTTGTTTTACTTTTACTGTCACCAAAGGAGAGAAGGAAAGAGTAAATGGGAAAGCTGTCAAAATTTCACCAAAAGTATAGTTGTGTCAACTGACTAAATTTGACAGCTTTGAAAGATGGATAATCAAAGGATTGAAAAAGATTTTGTTCCAAAATTTGACTAATCATATCACTATTTTCAATTTGTCAAAAATTCACAAGGAAACTCTCTATATAAACAATTCTCACATAACTAAAATCACAAGCAGTTCAGAGTATTTTGGCTTATGTAAATTCAGCACTAGAGTCTCAAGCAGATTTAAATGGATTGAAAACATAAAGGTTAACAGATTAGGAATCTCTATGGAGGATTACGGATTTGTAGAATGAGAGTTTGTGGTCATTTTTTTGTCATTCATTAGGCCATTTTTCCATGCAAGTTTATACTTAAATGATTTCAAGAAATACTTGTAAATATCTATTTTACTTTACATTCTTACATTATCTTCCAAAGCACAAACATAGATTTATACAAAAATCTGACCAGCAAAAATATTTTTGCTGATGGTGGAAGTGGCCCTGCTGGAAATGAAGTAGATGGGTTTGTATTTTTTAATCTATAAAGGAAAATAGAAAAACATTAAAATGCATATCAAAACTTTAGAAAGATATGCATTTTACTGGCCTGCTGATTAAATGCTGAATATTTTATTAGTATTAGGAACCAGTTATTGAGCATTTACTCTGTTCCAGGAACTATGCTATGTGCTTTGCATACATTATTGCATTTAATCAATGATACTGCCTTTTAGGGTGAGTATTTTTAACCCTGTTTTATAAATTAAAAAATCAAGACTAAGATGTTAGGTAAGTTGAAGGTTATCTAGGAAGCTATCACATTTAAACTAACCCTGGATTTGTTTGACCCTAAGCCTTATTCTTAGCCTCCATGATATATCTTAAGCTGACCATAAAATAACAGTTGCTTTCATAAGAGTAAAACGTGTGGATTTCATAAGTTTTATATTTCAGATATAGATCATGAACCTGAACTAACATTTCCAATAATGGCACAGATAATACATCAACCATCCTCTTCACCTTTCCCAACAAGCTTCATATAAAAAAGCATAACAACTATTGTGTTTCAACTATGGTTTCTTTTTAAAATTACTTGCTAAAGTACAACCAGAAGAAAGAGAACCTTCCACATGCCTCACCCAGAACCGTCTGTTTAGAGTGTAAGTAAATGCTATACCTCTGACAGCAACGTTGAGAGACCCTTGAACGAGCTGGATAATGTTGCCAGCTCATCTCCCTGCTTTTGGGCTTCATTCTCAGAAGAAACTTCAGTCAAAACTTTCAGCCTGGATTTCAGCCAGCCGAGGGTCTCGCCCCTTTTGGTAATACCATTTCTGATCTCCTGAAATGAGAGAACACTTTTATGAACAAACTGCAATTGTGAAATCATAACTTCCCAGCAATAAAAGACTCAGCCTAAGAAAGCTTGCAGATGCAGCAGAATAGAGCCAGACATCCATTGACCAATACAGTGCCTGTTTATTTTACTTTTTGTACATATTTTTAACAAAAATCCACAAGTGCTTGAAAGAAAACTGTTGTCTATACCAAAAAAATCAACTTAATGATTAGATTGGTTAGATACTTATAGATATCTATATCTAAGTATGTCCCTGGTACTTGTAGCAAGAATCTATCTCTAATGAATCTTCACATAGACATTAATTTTTTACACATTCATCTACCTGTGATATCTATAATTATCTAATCAATCCATCTAATTATGAAGTTGATTTTTAGATGATTCTAAAAATACTCTGGAAAATTATGAGATGGCAAAATCAGCAACCATAACATACATACACTTTGTTATCTCACTTCCTGTGAGCTGGAAAGAAGATGGTACTTTGTAAAAAAAAGAATGAAAGTTTTTCTTTTCTTTTCAATCAGCTGATTTATTTCATAGAGGAGTCTACCTGTTGAATATTGTTATGGATGCTCTAAAGATTTATCTTAACTTCATCAACTTACATTTTCTGCTTCATTTTTATTAGCTTTTAGAAGCCAATATCCCATATAGCAAGAAGCATAAATGGAAGCACAGCTCTGATTTAGGAAGGGAGGCTTCATTGACAAGAAAATGCTAGAAAGACTCCAGGGCTTCAAGTCTTGCAGGGTTGCTGACTGAGGGAGTAGTGACAGGACTAGCCAGTCCTCCCTACAGAAGTTCTAGGGTGGCTGGGGAACAGGGGTCTCCAACCAGGGTCATGCCAGAGCTTTGCTGGAGTACACACGAGCCAGGAAACTGTCAGTTCCAGACACCAGTGAGCTCTTCATTCTAGGATATAAATTTTTTTGGTACTATAAAAGCAACCAGTAGCAAATGTCAATATCCTTCCATACGTATATCATGACATTGTGGATCACCACTAGCATTTGAGGGGATTGTATAATTTAATTGAAAAAGAAAAGGGCCAGGAACAGTGACTCATACCTGTAATCCTAGCACTTTGGGAGGCTGATGGGGGCAGATCTCTTGAGCCAAGGAGTTTGAGACTAGCCTGAGCAACATGGCAAAACCCTGTCTTTACAAAAATTACCAACGTTAGCCAGGCATGGTAGCATGTGACTATAGTCACAGCTACTCAAGAGGCTGAGGTGGGAGGATTGTTTAAGCCCAGGAGGTCGAATCTGCAGTGAGCTGTGAAAGTGCCACTGAACTCCAACCTGGGTACAGAGACCCTGTGTCAAAAAAAGGAACTCAGAGGACAGGAACAGAAAGGAAATACATTCTATGACTTGCAAGGGTCAAAAATGTTGAAAGATGAAGATTTTTCACAATATTATGTGTCTAAGAGTGAGAGAGTACCATTGACAGAGTGCAAACTGTGTCTGAGCCTGAGGCACTGTGGCCCTGGCGGGGTTTCTTAGGCTGTATCCGCACTCACAGAGGTTGAAATGAACAAATACAACCTAATGTCAATACAAAGGATGCCTAGAGACCTTGCCTAATTCCATGATTTTTCTGTGGCCTGGCTTTTGCATGGCTGAAAATGTATTGTATAAAAGCATACAGTGTTCGTGTTTTCCATGATGATTCTTACATCTCTGCTGGGTTATACGCCCATGCATGCAATTTTCCACTCAGGACTCCCTATTAGTTAAAGATCCATTTGTGGCACCATGGAGCATGATTAATTCTCAAAGCTACCAAGAATTCAATAGGATAAAACTCTACAGTTCTCCAGAGTAATATGAGGAGACTTATTTTAAAGTCAATTTCAAGAACTTTTTTTCCAGAAAGAATAAAGGAGACAACTGTTAGATTGTCTGACATTATTTTTCCATTATGGGAAAATTTCCTTTAGCAAATAGCGGCCCTGAACTTACTTCAACAGCACATTTAACTTCTCCATGATTGGCAGTATTGATGGCCTCACCCTTGATCCCCTTTAATTGTGTCTCCTTTGTAGATATCCAAGATGAGAACTCAGAGAATCTGAAATAACATAAGCGTTTTCTTATCAACGGGAGAACATACCAGAATGATTAGAATTGTTTTCTATTTTAAATTCATTCATGGAAATTTAATAATTAAGCGATTACTAAATTGATTAACAACTTTTCTGGAAACTGTTCCTTCAACATGAAGCTCATGTTAAAGGGCAGGGGTGGCCACCTCTGTGCTCAGTTACTAGAAGCAGGGTGGTGGGGGAGTTCAGCTGAGGGAAAATGTGTGTTCTAGAGACTGAGCACCTGAAGGAAGAAAGGGACCACTTGAGGTCTGGCATCATGTGTCCCCACCAGGGTGAGACACTAACCTATAGAGGCAGAAGCCACCCTTATAGGATATGAGATGACAGGGTTTGGCTGTATCCCCACCCAAATCTTATCTCGAACTTAGTTCCCATAATCCTCACATGCCATGAGAGAGACCTGTGGGGAGGTAATTGAATAATGGGGGCAGTTACCCTCCTGCTGTTGTTCTCATGAAAGTGAGTGAGTTTTCACAAGATCTGATGGTTTCATAAGGGGCTTTCCCGACTTTTTCTCTGTACTCCCCTTCCTGCCATCATGTGAAGAAGGACATGTTTGCTTCCTTTTCTGGCATGATTGTAAGTTTCCTGAGACCTCCCCAGCCATGCTGATCACTGAGTCAATTAAACCTCTTTTCTTTATAAATTACCCAGTCTCAGGTATGTCTTTATTAGCAGTGTGAAGACAAACTAATACATGAGGCTACTGGGGAGAAAGGGATTGGCCAACTTTGCCTCAAAGAGATAACATCTTGGTCACTTGGAAAAAAGGTGCCTCACCCTGATTCTCACTAAAACCCATTCTTTTTACTAAACAAAAGATTTTTGTACAAGAATATGAGCTCAAAATATGAAATATGTAATTTCTTGTTTTGTCATGATCTCTGAACTAACAGAACTACGTTTAACTCTACCCCTCTCTGGAGACCATTCCGAGGCTACCTGCTCGTGTAGTCCTTCCACTTGTCTGGGTCTTCCATGAGCTTCCTGTAGGTGCTGTCAATGGCAGCTCTGAGCTCTTTGAGAGTCGCATGACAGGTTTCAGGTGTGTCCCTTACTGGGTCCCGGACTGGGAGTTTCACACAGAGTTCCTCGATGAGCTGTAACCTTTTCTCACAGAGATGATGAGGACCTTTGTCACTGAAGAAAACCTAACGTATAATAAACGTTTTTATAATCCCTGTGAGAAGCCACATAGTACTTTTACATTTTCACAGAAAAACCAAAGGAAGTTTCCCATGCAGACTACCAAAGTAGGGTAATTAAGCTATTTTTTTCATACCCAAGCCAAAATATCAGCAATATCCTTTACGGAATAGTGTGACTTGACATGGCTATCGACATTGTGGTGTGGGAGACATACCCTGTGCTCTTTAATTATCTTTTCACTGCCTTCCTGGGGCACCAGCTTGGTCTCTCGATCCAGCTCAGCTCTGCATTCTTCTACAGAGGCTAAGAACCTATTCTTCTCCACATCAATCTTCAGATGAAGCAAATGATAAGGGGCTTCTCCTTGAAGATCCTACATTCCATAGGAAGATTCAGAAAATTAGGATGATACTCCCGATTATGTACATTCCCAATTGAAGTGGCAAAAAAATCCATAACATATTTCTTTTATGGCCAGTGTGACTAGTGTGACTGAATCACTACTTTCCACACCTGGTCTCTCACTACTCTGTATTTTTCCAAGTACTGGGACCACAGTCAATCTTTTCATCCTGCTGTGGGTTAGGTGCTTTCTCAGTAATTACTTGATTTAATTTTAATTCTCACAGTAGCCTTGCATAGTTTTTTTTTTTTTTTTTTTTTTTTTTTCCCCGAGATGGAGTCTCACTCTGTTGCTCTGGCTAGAGTACAGTGGTGTGATCTTGGCTCACTGCAATCCCTGCATCCTGGATTCAGAAGATTCTCCTGTTTCAGCCTTCTGAGTTAGCTGGGACTATAGGCGGTATCACCACACCTGGCCAATTTTTGTATTTTTAGTTGAGATGGGTTTTCACCATGTTGGTCAGGCTAGCTTTGAACTCCTGACCTCAGGTGATTTGACTACCTCAGCCTCCCAAAGTGCTGGGATTACAAGCGTGAGCTACCACATCTGTCTGGCCCTTCACAGTACTCAGGTTCTTATTTTATAGATTACATCATTAAGGCTCAGGGGTAAGTACAAAAGCTAAGATTTTACCTTGGATTTAAATCATACCCTCTTCCCTGCATGTGTCACTTTTGATTTTGTCAATGACCTTGTGAGCCAGGAGGGGCAGATATTATACCCAGTTCATAAAGGAAGAACATAAGAAAACCTAGTTAGTTAAAAAATGTTTTAAAAAGAAAGAAAAGAAAACAATAGACCAGGCTGCTGACCACCCGACATATCCTCTTTCCCTTAGATCATACATTGAGAAACAAGCAAGCAAGCACTCAAACAATACATAACATTTCATGTTCTATTTAATTATAAACATAAGCTTCATCATTACTTTTAGACCCATAATTAATTTTAACTGACTTCTATCCTATGGCATTTTAAAGGATTACCCTTGAAAGAGAATACTGAAATGACTGATGAGAAAAATGAGTTGGGGCTATGGAAAGCCCCACCTAGATTAAATCCTATAGAGGTGTGTGTGTGTGTGTGTGTGTGTGTGTGTGTGTGTGTGTGTGTAATAAAATACAACCTTCAGTTATAGTCTTTATTCCATAATACATTTACAATATGATATGCTTCAAAGACATCTAACAAAGCTTAGATTTCTTTAAGAATCCTTCTTTTTTAATGAGACACTTGAATTTTCAAATTTAGCAATTAGTAAGTAAAAAGGATATTTCTTTAACTGTGTTTTTCTTGTGCACAGGGATACTTATTTAGCTTATGTTACTGAGATTTTAAAAATCCACAAAGTGAGGCAGCCTGATGGAAAGAGTTTCAGCTGCCAACCTTCTGAACGCCAAAACTCCTCCATATAACGCACATGAAGTATCACCTCAAGATAGCACATGTTCACCTACTGCTGGAGCTGTCTTGTTTCTGTCTACCTCAAGGAAGACAACCTTCCATGGGTCTCCATTACGCTACAGCTACTTCCAGAATCTGGCATGCCATCTGAAGCTGGCCTCCGTGGGACAGACCCAGCCTTATCTCCCATGGTTCTTTCACAGGCCATGACACACAAGTCAGACGGACTCCCATGGGTCCCTGCGTCCTCCCTGAACACTCTCCTGCTTTCTCTCTTCTGTGCTGCTGTGTCACCCCCTGCCTACTCTCATTTCTATTTATTTAAAGTTCTAGCTCACAACTAGTTACTTGATTCACTGTTTTTCAACTTCCAAGTGGGTCCACTTCCCTCTTTCAAAGCTTTCATAAATATACACACTTTTGGATTGATCATATTTTATACTTGTATTATTTGCAACTAATTATCTCCTTTTCTGAACTCTTAAGCTCTTGGGGGGGGGGCTAGAGGAGTATGCTTTGTTCATCACTGAATTCTTAACTAAGAAATGTTTTTATTTATATTTTTTGATCATAGCTATCTCAACCAGATAGTAAAATCTTTGGGGACAGAAACTATATGTTTTATGATTTCAGTAGGTATACCTAACAAGATTTATTGAGCAGCGAGGAATTTATGAAACGTTCCTTGAATAAGTTAAACGTCTTGTCACCCCAGCTTAAAAACAATCAGAAAACCAAAAAGAATGCTCCAGGATACAATTAATGCTGAAAAGAAATAGGAATAACACAATTCTATCATATATTATCAAGTTTTATTTAAGTCCAGTTTTTTGATTTTTTTAAATGAGGGAAATAATAGTTACAGTGACTTTCCATGAGTTTCTTAATTTCTCTTACATTTGGACCTTAACACGCTCAAGCTTCTCCCTTCATTGAGGACGCACGGAGTCTCCAGTCTGTCCTGACTCACCTTCCATTGTTTGTGGAGCTTTCGAACAGCTTCCTGCAGCCCCTGCTGCTCCTGCTCTGGGAGGATGTCGGTGAGTTCATCACAAGCTTTCAGGAAGGCATTGAGCACCCTCTGATCCAGCTGACTGAAAAACTCCTGACATGGTGGGGGAAAGTGGGTAAGAGTGTAGCATCAGACATGATCATGCCACTAAACAGCCACTAAACAAGCCTCTTAGCCAGCTGCTGCCCTCTTCAAAACTTCCAGGCACCCACTATTGTTTTTTAAGAATGAACTATGTGCATCTATAGTTATGAATCAGAAGCCATCACATCTGAAATTCTACTGGTATTTTTTATTTTTTAGAAAAATTCTTTGTGGTTCTCAAGTTTGGTAGAATATTTCAAAAGGAGTATCTCATCTTCCAAGGGGAGAGGCCAAAACCTTGATTCTATAGTGATAGAGCTTTGGGTTCCCTTTGGTGAAGTTAGAAGAACAGAATGGAAGCCAGGATTAAGCCTCATAATTCCTCATTCCCCAACCTCAGTGCTTCAGGGCCTGATGCTTCATCATGAGCCACTGTGACATTCACACATGTGCACAGAGAAGCACACATGTCCACACATAGGCACACATGCTACACACCACATTGTGTTCCTCTTCAAACTTTTATGTTGAAGCCCTACCCCCAAATGTGATGGTATTTGGAGATGGGGACTTCGGGAGGTAATGAGGTTCAGATGATGTCATGGGGTTGGGGTCCTCATGATGGGATTAGTGCCCTTATGAGGAGAAACACCAGAAATCTTGCTAGGTCTCTCTCTCTGCCATGCGAGGGCACAGGGCAGCCACCTGCAAGCCAGAAAGAGGGCCCTCCCCAGAACTCTACCATACTGGCACCTAATCTCAGACTTCCCTTCTCCAGAACTGTGAGAATGTAAGTTTCTGTTGCTTTGGCCACCCATTTATGCTATTTTGCTATGGTCACCAAGCAGATGAAGACAATACATATGTACATACTACCCATGACTAAGTCTCACACAGTCTCAGGAGTAGGCATGCGGAATTCTTTTATAAAAATGGTGATTCAGAACAAAAAGTACCATACTGTAGAGGTGAAAAACTGAATGAGATGTTTTGTGTTTTGCAGTTGTAGACATTAACCCTAAATCTAGCCTGCTGAATCACAAATCATTTGAGAGTGTGGTTTATACAAATAACCACTGAAAGTCAGGAAAGATAAACTACATGTTCTCAGAGTGATGGTTATTTCTTTTTTTTTTTTTTTTTTTTTGAGACGGAGTTTCGCTCTTGTTACCCAGGCTGGAGTGCAATGGTGTGATCTCAGCTCACCGCAACCTCCGCCTCCTGGGTTCAGGCAATTCTCCTGCCTCAGCCTCCTGAGTAGCTGGGATTACAGGCACGTGCCACCATGCCCAGCTAATTTTTTGTATTTTTAGTAGAGACGGGGTTTCACCATGTTGACCAGAATGGTCTCGATCTCTTGACCTCGTGATCCACCCGCCTCGGCCTCCCAAAGTGCTGGGATTACAGGCTTGAGCCACTGCGCCCGGCCTGGTTATTTCTGTATACCGTTCATGAACATTATGAATAATGTTCTCAACATTCATATTTAAATAATAAACATGAAGATGGCTTTATAATACTGGGAAAAGTTGTGTATCAGCTACCAGACTTCAAGTGACACAGTATCTATACTATGATATGGTGGATGTATAAAATGAGCACAAAGGACTTAGCCGGACACCTCAAGATACCTATTTAAAAGAATCTTTAGTTATAGAAGAATTTGTAAGCTAAATAACAAATTAGTAATTTGGAGAACTTGAATGATCCTGTGACTCTCCACTATTCCAGAAGTTTAAGAATGGCCAATGACAAGCCAGCTCACCAGCTACTCCTAAAGTTCTTTTTGCCCACCAAATCTATGGGTCTCATATCTAAAAAGTCTCTGCTTCCCTGACTCATCTGCCCACTCCCCTTCTGTATCAGATCAGCATGCCTTTTTTAAGGTTTTCACCCAAGGTCATTTCATTTGTTCATGTATTCAGGTCAAGTGCCCCCTAAAGGGTGGACTCACAGTGTGTCTCCGCAGGAGCTCCTCCGGATCCCCCTTTTCCTCCAGGCCCTCTTGAGCAATCCGCAGCACCTTCTCCAACTCTGCCCGAGATTCCTCAAACTTCTTCATCAAGCGACTGTTGGTTTCTACATGCTTCTTCCAATCTCCGGTTTTCTTCACCATACTCTTGATGTAAAAAACAATCATAATGTGATGCTGCTTTCTCATTACTGAAAGTATCATTTTGTTAGAGAGTATTATTGATTTAAACAGCATTTGGAAAAGAGACATTTCATCATGATGGAAATAATTCACTCTTTTCAATATTAATTAAAGTTAGAAAAAACAAGTGGGACAATGATTGGTTTCCAGACACCACCAGGTGAGGCATTTTTGCAAGACCAAAAGCATGAGTGAGGGTTTCTTGTCTTCAATCTGCATTTTCTCCAGCTCACAACTCTAAAGCAGGGAAAGCAAATTACCTGAAAAGCAACATGAACATCTGCAATCTGTCTTTGTAGCCTCGTCTGATCAAAATGCTTTAACACGTTGCTCAACGTCACAAACTTTTGAACACTTTGACTGCCTTTCTCAATAAGTGTCAAGGTTTTCTTGCAGTTATCTTGACAAGCTAACAGTTCCTATGAGGAAAGGAAGCCCCACAACAATGTTATTTACAAGACAGAATGAGGGAGAAAGA